TTACGTCTCATGGCGCACATGTAAGACATACACACTGCTTCCACCCCAACTTATGTCGTCTCAGTTTTGAGATCTTATCTTTACTATATTCATTCTCACACACATTCACTCTAGCGAGTCGCATTAATTTGTAGACATATTAAGATATCGGGACAGTAAGGTAGATTAGAGTACACAAGGTGTACTAACGAATGTTGTGTTGACCTATTGTCTTCCTTTAACATTGATTTAACAGACCATGCGATTCTTACCTCATCTCTTCTGCTCTCATTATGTTCCCTACACAATTCTCTGTTCACCATTCTACACACTCCTCTTGCTTATATCCACACTTGGACATAACTCGGGTTCGGACGTATAAAAAGATATGCCACAACATGTGTTGTTAGGTGTAAGGGTACTCTGTTATCCTATATAACAGGTCCTTTATGTGAAGATTTTTTTGTACCCGGATGGTTTTAGATTTATAGTAGTATGACCAGACAAGAGTATGATAATTGGACATAACGGAGCTGTTTGCTTATATCTGGCTGTACTAAGAGCAGCGGAACAAACACGGGCGTACCCTAATTTCGAAACAAAAATTTCCTGCCGAACATCTAACACCCAAAACACGTGTGAACGAGCATAGGATAGAGCTATTTGTGTCCCTTCCAAAACCTCACGCTGGGCCTAGACTGAGTGTGTATCTCAATTGAAAGTGGCCGCCTACGACTACACAGACGTTTATAACGCGTGACTTCATTATGGTCTCACCCGGCGGTTTTCTACATGGCGAATTGGTCCCGTACTTTGGAACGACTTAATGTGTCATAAATATGATAGAGTCTAGTCGCGCAAACAGTAATTTTAAAAGACCAACGGACAGAAAAATACCTAGACAAATTACTCACGTGAACATTATCACATATGTACATATCGGGTCGAAAACCGGTAAAGTGAGTCGACCAAACTTTTTCACAGTCTTATTATGTTTATTTTAGGTATCTACACAATGAATTATACGATTCAAGATGTACGTAAATATCTTTGCTTATCACTTTTCTCTATAGCAACAACTATAGTGGGATCTGCACCTATGGTACACGTTTGAGCTAACTGGTAACTGGATATACTAACTTTTGGTGGGAAGCACACATCACGCGTAAGTCGTGTGTACCCACATCACACGTTCTCAAGAGATTCGAGAAGTCCTCTAAGGTAATCTGAATTTAATCAATCTATGTAAGAAAATTACATTCAGTGATTCTGTTTTCAATGAGACACTTAGGATTCATACATTAGCCGGTATATTATGATCAATTTTCCCAACACAAGTGTTTCTCTGACGGCGAAAGGAGTAACTAGTCATGATACATAATATGTTTTATTCTCTTATTGTCTTATTGTGCACCTCAACGTATTTATTAGTAAAGTATAGAACATTTCTAAAGTTTAGGTTTTCTATTGTATGTGCCCAACTGTATTTATCCACACAAGCGTACAACATTCTTATACGTTTTCTTTTTATTTACGACAAGTAAGACAAAGTGGTACCCAAACAACTCTACATAGCGTATATAAACTCAGGGATTACAACGAGAGTTCTACTAACGTGAGCGTTCTGGTAACAAAGACAGAAAATTGATGAGCTGTATATGACAATTATTATTTATCGATACAAATGAGGATCTCACCTTCGTTACTATGTATCGCGTATTGAGGTATCCTTGTATTGACCAAGGAAAGTCCATAGACTATATCAGAGTATATATGTATCCTATAACAAAAAATATACTATCGAATGATATCTCTTGGGGGGGTATTGTACCAACCACTGCAGCACACTTAACTGACACAGCTAGAGCGGTGATCCATCAATGTATCTGTAAGGAGCGGACAAAGTATATTCTAATGGAAAAGTACACAACATAGGTATACTGCAGTTTACAGACCAGAACAATAAGTGAAAATCCCCCAACCGCATCCCACCAGGGGATTTACCCGACTTACAGGTTCATATCTAAAAGGTATTTATATCTTACACGATACAACAGAGGAAACGTTGGGCCCACTAGGGAATTCGAATTTGTATATTATCTGATTTAATAAGATAGGCCCATCTAGTGTTCCATCGGATGCAACAACTCTAGTTTTACGAGATGATCAGCAAATTTGTGGGCTAACAAACACACAGAACAAACATGTTCACGATAAAGTAAGGTCACCCACAGGCTACTTATCGATGACAAATTGTGTTGTCTAGGAGTTCGAATTACAAAACTCTCAGGTAGTGGTTCACACCTACAGAACTATAATGGTATACCTTTGTTATTTACTGAATCACATGGTTGTAGGTCTATTCAGCCAGCAGTCTCGGTCCAAGGTTGGACTCCCAGTTATGGGAACCCTTCCACCCGTCGGTTTGATATATATGCCTATCCTCGTTGTCCACCTAAAATGACAGCTGGACTACACTGAGAGCTTACACTATTTAGTCGATTTTTGTAATGGTATTAAGGTAGCATGCTATTCAAGTTCTGTATTCTTCTTCTTGTAATAAGAGGTCCCTAGAAGGTTTTGATATTATGGCTTATGAATGTGACTTGTTTTTATATTTGCGGCTTGTGAAAACACACAAACGACAAAGGAGTCAAAAAAGTTGAGCGTCACGTAACATTGCGTTTTCTATTCTATTTCACTGTAGCAAAGATAATAATAGTGATTTAGATTTGGTTAAAAGAGATGGTTCCTATAACAATGTCTGCTCCTATAGACTTTAATCTTTTGACAGACACTACCTCAGCCGTTCGTCTGAAAGAGCCGCATACTGGCTAGTTTCTTTTTTGAGGTGTAGGAGAAGTAGGTAGCGTTATCCGACAACGGTATATGATTGCCTATCGACGGTAGATTTTGGTCTCTAACTAATAATAGAACACTCCACACCCGGTATCCACGTTTATTGTAATCCCCCACCCCGATGTCGTAGAGTTTTGGCCCGCGACGAGTTGATCGTATAACAAACGATGTTTACACAGGTAAGGCCACACGGTTAATCGCACTTTCCCCAGCCAGCGGTCTCAACAGCTACCAGTATCAGTCCATAGCACCCATCACTCAACATGTAATCCGCACATAAGTCACACTAAAGCAACAACTTGCCCATACATGCAACTTTTTTCATAAGCTGTTCAAATTCAGAAGCCACGAGGAGTCTAAAGACAGTTATTAGATTGTTAACCATGACAGGGAGACGAGTTATTGCGGTGATTGGGAGGATCGGTGGTGGATATCACCCTCGGTATACACCTACAGTGATAGTTGGAGAAAGCAAGGATTGTGCACTTAGGAATCAGACGCTGCGAGGGTTACTATAGTGGAATTAGATGGGATGTGGTGCGTATGCTGACCGAGAGGGCGCATAAGCGGGCGAGCGCGGCAGAGCGCGCGGTCTGGTGTCGTTTTTGGGGTGCGGCGTTTGATCGACAGGAGTGTGTTTACGGTTGTATCTGAGAGACAGTTTCTGCGCACCGACCGCCATACAAAACACACCTGTGGGATTCCGTGTGGACACTTTACCTTAGTACGGCAGATTAGTCGCTGCAGCCTTTGACTGCAGCTCCACTCTGCGTTCGTGTGCTGAGTGTCGGAGTCAGCNATGTGTGATGAGAGAAGAAAAGAAAGTAAAAAGGCTTGGAAAAGCAGCAGAATATTTGAACTGCAAACTTTTGAACTAACTTGATGGCGACAGATCATTCGCCATCAAGTTAGTTCAAAAGTTTGCAGTTCAAATATTCTGCTGCTTTTCCAAGCCTTTTTACTTTCTTTTCTTCTCTCATCACACATTCAAGCCCCCAGTGTTCATGTATCATTTAAATCTAAATTCTTCACTTTCTTCTTACACATTACATTTCAGCATGGCAGTTTAGCGTCAGCTTTTCAGCATAAAGCCTTCCCACTAGCAATTTATTCAGGAATTGCATTCTCTAGTTACAATTAGCTCTACCTTTACCAGCTTTGATAGCACTCTAATGCATCAATAACTATGATCAAAACACAAGATATATATTATCCTGAAATGGGTCAATCTGATTAATGAGTACTTTTACTTTTGGTATATCTTGATGTTAGTACTTTTACTTAAGCAAGTTTTTGGATGCAGGACATTTAATTGTAACAGAGTATTCCAACTATCTGGTTTGTACTTTTACTTAAGTACACAAGCTGAGCACTAAAACCAGAATTAATACCAGCAGTGTATGAGAATAAATGTAGGCATGACAACCCGTTTTATGACTAGAGTCTAAGCTGCAGGTTCACCATGGACTAATAATTAACAAGCTTTCAAATCTTAAAAGGAAATCCACCGGCGCGCGCCACTATGATAAAGTTTTGTAAAATGATAGCTTACAAAGTCTTCAATACTACAATGATCATAACATGAGTTACCTAACTGTCTATTCTGTCATGGTATTCATTAAAGCAATATACTGTTTAAATTGACTAGTCCTCATATATTAACAGCACGTTTACCATCTAGATTAGCTACAAATAAATATAACTCAATCTTAACTCATTATTTCATTCAATGTTTCCAACTTACCATCAAAGCTCTGATAACGGTGTCCTGTTTACTCATCGTGTATCGACCGTAGTGAAAGTGTGTATGGAGCAACTCTCAGCTAGTTAGACCTGTCCAACATTATGGTTTCCCATTTGGCTTTCCTCGCCCCTCCCACAGTGTCCCTCCCCTCCTCCCCCCTCCTGCAGCCCAAAACAAATGTCCCTCTGCTGGAGGAAAGAGAACAGTACACTGACAGTGAGATAATCAAAACAAAACATCCAGATACATTTCCAGTTTTCTTCTTTTTTACCACGTTCACCCTTTTTATGCAATAACCCAAATATTGCAGTGTGCAGTAATGAAATATTCCTAAAATAAATGTGATATTGATATTAATAAAAGGGAGTAATCAACACATCTTTTCAGATCAACGAAACCAACATGCTGTATCACATCCACTCCTCTCTCAGGAATGTCATGGAGCAGGTTGAGGTATGTTAGCACTGTGTTTCTTATTTGAAGGGAAATGAAAGAAGCCAGAAGGACTTGTACGTTCGAGCACTCATATGACACTTTTTTTTCCCGTTGAGTATTGTTTTGGACGTTATAGAAGGCAACCTTTGTACTATCAACTTCCTAATCAGGTCATTTGAAACAGTTAAAGTAGATTTTTGGATTATAAATCTCTTAGTTTGACTATAGCAATATTTATAAGGATTTAGAAAGCCCAACATGGCATTTTAGTGGGAATGACAGCAACGGCACTCCACTGAATGTGTCACTAAGGTGTCAGCTGAGGTGACCGGCGCAGAGGAGTGTACTGTATGGAGAAGAGAAGCAAGAGATGCATTTCAACCACACAACTCCCCACATTTTACCAACCAAAAACACCAAACCTGGATTTCCTGGTTACTATGCCCTCATCCCCATACTGCTCATACTGTTTGGATGTGCGGTGGCAATGGTAAGAACACATTTTCATATTAAAGCACACATGGCTGAATGATAAGTATTTTTAACCTTTTTTTGTTATGCTTCTCTTTAGGTTTATTATTTCAGAAGAAGGTCAAGGTAAGTGGGTTTCTGTGTTTTAAGCATAACTTTTAAACCAATTTGGTATCTTTTATGTTGTTCTAACATTTATTTTGTATACTTTTATACAGATTAGATGATCTACGTCATAGGCTGATTCCTCTTTACACCTACGACCCCGCAGAGGAGCAGTGGGACGACCGTGACAGGGAGGAGGACGAGGAGCAGGCTGTGAGAAAACCTTTAAACTTTATAAACCACTTACAATAAATAAATACATTTGAGATCATATCCATGCCTAGTTGGTACTCAGAATTTATATTTATTCAGATTTGTTCCTTATTTTCAGGAACCTTTATACAAGAGGGGGAAGCTGTCCTTTTCATCTTAACATGGATTATGAAGTGGAAATCAAGAAAGTTAAACATATGTGGCCATTTGGACAGATGATTTACAAATGCAGACTGGCGGCTTCATGAACTTTGAAAACATCTGAATGTCATTCATCAGCCACTAGCACCATATCGAATAATTGATTTTCAAGATCATGTTCATTGCAGAGCTGCAGACAACGGTTGTCACTGTGATCCTCTTTTTGTGTGTGTTTTCTTTTAGAGAATGTAAGTGTTTAAGGATTAAGCAATACACTATTGTTGAGCAATAAACTAAGACCAAATCAAAAAATGCTTTTGTTTTGTTTGTGTAATTCAAAGAAATGTTGATGGGTTATGCTTAAAGAGCTTCAAAGACACACACCTGTCTCTGCTTGGCAATCAGAGTGTGTGCTGCTGTTTGGAGGTTCTTCAGGTTGACTCTTGACATCTTCACATGTTATGGAGAGTTTTACATACAGGAAGATGGGATCACAAACAAAGAGACGGTAATAATTTAAGTACATCTCAAAATCCAAACTCCTAACTGAAATATGTGATTATTAAATGAAAGAATGTTTCCTGTCTGTATCCTTGTTACATTAGTCCTGATCTGTTGGGGCCACACTGGATCCTGTCCTCCATCCTGATGGCTGCAGCTCTGTTCCTCCCCTCTCTGAGTCTGGACAGCCTGCTGTGTAAATTCTGTCCTCTGCAGCACAAAGGCACGTCCTGTCCTGGGATCAGCAGCCAGTGTCTGCCTGACCAGCGCTGCTCCAGCTCCAGAGGACACTTCGGCTCCCTCCACGTCCTCTCTGCTCAGGGCTGCGTGGACGCTGAACTCTGTGGCTCCCATGAGATGGCCTCTTTTCGAGGGGTAAAGTACAACGTCAGCCACACCTGCTGCTGCAGAGACAAATGTAACGGCCATCCAAACTCTAACAACAACCTGAAGAAGCTATTGGGGATGCTAGCCGACAAACTACATTACCCTAACATCACTAGTGTTCTTAGAGAGGAGCATTGGGATTCATGTGCAAATTACACATCTTCAAATACGTTGCCTACCAATGCATCATAGAAGTGTTTGTATAAGGCTGGGGAGCGGCCTGTTAGCCATAGGCACTTACCTGAGCCTTCAAATAGTCACTAGCATTTCAACAGATGTTTGTGATTATCAGTATTTTAGCTAAATTACTGTTAAAATGCTTCATTGTCAGTGTTTCATGTACATTTTTGATCCAGAGAGAAAAGGGTGGACAGCTATCCTCCTGGTATTTTATAAACACTATTGATGTGGTAACTTATGAGTTCAGCAAAATCACCATGATTAAACTTCCCACTTGGTTTAGTTCCTTCGAGTTGATTTTACCAGCAGGTGTGCAGGGAGGTGTGGCCTCTGCATGCAGATCTCAGTGGTGAGACAAGAGTTCATCAGGAGGAGCTCTGAGAGGTTTCGACTGGAATTAAAATCTTAACAAATGTAAGTCTTCATAATGCTTTTTATATTTGAATTTGCACACTGAAAAAACGTCTGACATCACTTTCTGCCTTTAGCACTTTAAAACTGGCAATCAGTAGATTCTGCTGAGCAGAGATTACTGACACCTGTGTATAAGAAGAAAGGCTTGAATTAACTTTTCAACTGGTTTATTCTGAACTTGGCTTGAGACAAGAAATGGAAGGATAACAAGTGATTAAAACTTAACTTTTTTTTACTATGTACAAGTTTACGTATTAGTCTATTGGAGTTTTACAGAGGCAAGTGTAGTACAAAAACAATTGTCTCTTGTCTGTTGGGCCTCTGAAGAAATGTTGTCAAGTGTGACATAATAATTTATACAGATTGGTCTTGGCTCTGAAACCACACATTTAACAGAAAGTGTGCCAACTAGGCAAGTGGCCTATGAAAAAGTAATGTACAAGGAAAAAATACTAAATACATTGCATTTTGTGAAATGTAGGATTCAGTGCATTTGGAACTTGATGCATACTGCATTATAAACCTCTCACAAATGTGTAACTTTATGGAAGTGCAAACTGCAGATGTCTTGTTTTATGATTTATTTAATCTATAGAATACAAGGTCATGAGGTCAGTGAAGTACTCAATGCCTCTCTTTACCGTTGCAGGTGGAACATGTCCCAGCTCCTGCAGGCTGCTGCTCTGTGGATCTACCTGCTCCTGCCCTCGCTGCTCTGTGCAAACATGCGCTGCTACTACAGCCCCATCCTGGAGAAGGGGGATAAATTTAATCTCATCGTGTCAGAGTGCCGTCCTGATGAGATATGCTTTAAGGCAGAAGGTCGCTATGGAAACTACAGCGCCCTGTCTGCCAGGGGCTGCATGGCAAAGAAGGGCTGCAGCCGGGTGCACAAGATCCGCATCAGAGGAACCTTGTACACCATGAGCTACGGCTGCTGCGATTCACCGTACTGTAACTCCTGCCCAGGGGTCTTCGCCAAACCCCTCGTCATCACACTTACACTATTGACTGTAGCTGTGATGGCCGGCATCTTGTGAAGACACCTCCTGTGCTGTATGATGGGTAATTTTAAGGGGGGTGGGGTTCAGTGCCCAGAGGCATTTCTGCAGCCTCAGCATGGAGTAATGCAGAGGCTGTGTATGGTGAACGCCCAGAAGACACTGAGGTGTGCACCATAGTGATGCCAGAGATTTTAACATTTTATTTTGAATATCATGGTGACCAAAAACTGTTTTCATAATGTTTTAATGTTCTTTAAATAAATATTTGAATATTAAATTATATATATATATATATTTTTGTAAACTTTTCAAACTCTATTCTTTCACACAACACACACCAGACATGGGATGGCGATATATTTTGATTGTCCTATTGTCAACAAAGTGTTTCCATATTCTGATGCACACTGTGAAAAAAAACAAATATCTTTCTGTTCTATAGCATTGCATTGTTTTCCAAAACTATTAAAAGCAATACTACAGTATAAGACATTCTTTTCTACTGATGTTCTTTCATTATTATGAACATGGGAACTGTTGCTCATTTCGAGATGATCCCACATACACCATCCCGCTGCTGAACAATACTTACTAAATTTGCAGCAGAAAATAGTCGCCAACTAATGCAGTGACATGATGTAGATCTATGGTAGGATGGGAATAGGCCATAGTAGAAGGAGTTGGAAGGTATTATGTGACTGACTCACTCATTGAGATTAGTTGACAATAAGAAAAGTATGAAGAAATGGCAGGTTTATCTTTTAGCAGACAAAGACAACAGCTCAAACAACGTGTACAGCTGAGGTTTGGACAGTTCTTTATTTCCCTTTTATAAGGCTGCTGGGTCTCCCCATAGTGGATATACATATATATACAGGAGATTGCTATACTGGAGTTACACTGAGGGCAGAGGGTCCATATTACACAGACTTCAAAAAACAACACTAATAGAGCCTCACCTCCAGGTACCAGAAATCAGCAGAGAGATAGAGAGAGAAAGAGAGAGGGGAGGGGGGAAACAGCACATGAGAAGAGGGGGAGAGAAAGAAGAGGGGAGATGATGCAGTCTGAGAGCGTGAATCGACTGCCTAATAACTTAACACTAGAAAATAACATACAGATTTCACGCACAGTGCATCTTAAATAGGTTACGTGAAGAACCATTTACCATAAATATCTGTATTTTCCGGAATCAACATATATAAAAAATGATTTAAAAAAAACAAACAAAAATCAATGTTCAGTCTTTACTTTTTCTTATTTCTCCTTTTTCCCGTCGTGCAAATCGTTCTTTTAGTTCCTTCTTCCAGTGGAGGCCGGGCTTTTTCCCCACCCTGCCCACGTCCGTTTCAGATAAATGAGGAAAAGGAAACTGAACCCAGCACCCCCCTCCCGCCCTTAAAAGCATATGAATTAGTAGAAAACGAACAAACAAATGAACAGAACACCACAGTCAACTCATCACAAAAAGAACCCACAGACACACAGAACAGCAAGAACACAGTACACTTTTTTTTTTCTTTTTTGAGCTTCTTCATCAGCATCATTCCTTTTTAATGGTCAGTATCATAGTTGTGGTCTTTCTCCTGGCGTACTGGTTGGACAGCTCAGTGGAACTGGGAGGCAACTCTCCAATCGGATGGTCAGTTCAGCAGTGATATATTATCTCTCAATTTCACAGTGTGGTAGGAAAGCGGGGAGGAGGAGAGGGATCGGGGAGTGACGGGGAGGTAAGCCAGAGGGAGGGTAATCGAGGTGGGATCAGGAATCAAAGGAACCACAGCAACAATTAAAAAACAACTAGAAACCCCGACTGTCCAAGAAAACAAGTAAACAAAATGGCCGCTTCACTCCTTTCTTCCGAGTTTCATTCCCGCCGACCTGTGTGGTTGGGAAGGCCTTGATTGGCTGGCGTAAGCTGATTGAATGGCCTGTGTTTGTGGCAGAAGGTAGGGAGAGATGGGTGAGGGAAGTCAAAGGCTGACTGGAATCCACCGGTAGGTGGGACTCGGCAGGACGAGATGTCGTCAGGAGCAAAAGGATGGGCGTGGGCGGTCAATGTGTGATTGGCAGGTCAGAGGGCGAGTCCCGTCTCGGTGGGTTCAGGCACGCTGGTGCAGTGCCCGCCTCTTGCGGCTGTAGTAGTGACGCGCGCCGGTCTGTCTGGCAAAGTTCATCATGTAGTTTTGTTTACGGGTGCTGCAGGGATACAAAAACAGTGAAAGAGGGAGGGGGAAGAGGAGGGGTGTGAACATTAGTGACCGCGTAAAGGGCAATTTAAATCCAAACATTCCCATGCACACACTCTCATCCATGCACGCAACACACGAATGGTTGATGCAGCTTTCGTACTCATTCGCGTCCATGCTGGCATTTCTTTATAATTGTAGCCATAACCTCAAACACTCAACACCTGTATGGTTCTTGGAGAATGGGTGGCACTACTCTACACAACTGGATTTGTTAATGTTTTGCACATATGAGACGCGGCTAGATGGCGAACATGGTGGTAGAACTACATGTATCTAATACCAAATATCACAGGACAAGACATGGGACACAGAGTCTACGAACATACTACCACAGAGGCTAAGGAGGAACTCTGACACTGAGTGTTTGAGGTCAGAGGTAACAGCCGTCACTGGGAGAAAAGAACAATTAAGTAAAGCAAGGCCATAAAAGTGCAGGGTTGTGAGCAGAGGAGGGTGGTTTGGAAACTAAGAGACACAGAGAGAAGCTGCGGGAGATTGCTCTTGCTTAGCCTGTTCATTGCCTCTTCCATCCAGCAGGGCGGTGCCAGTGAGCCAGGAGAGCAGCCAGGGCAGGCAGGGGCCTCTGCGAAGCGGGGGNAACATCCCAGCTTCTACCTGGAAATGTGGACATGCTCATATTGCTAAAAGATAACCTTGATGATGCTAAGTGAGTGAGTGTAAAAACTAAAGTGAAACTTGATTTATTCTATTGCAGGGTCTGATTATTATATTGTTGACACTTTAAAATACTACTATCCTACTAAAATGCTGTACAAATCAGATTTATTATTTAATAAAGAAAAAATATTCAAGTACAAAAAAAAAAAAAAATCATTTTTTTTCTTTATTTTTCAATATCGCGATAAATATCGTGCCGTGGACTTTTCATCGCGATATTATCGTACCGTGAGTTTTTGGTATCGTTACATCCCTAATAATCACAAAAAGTGATGGCGTTTGTTTTTATTTTATAATTTTAAAATGACATTCCATCCTTTAAAAGGATTCAACACATCTCCAGATGAAAAATAAACCCTTATAATGGCGTGGATTTTGAATGTTACAAAATCCCTCAAGGCATTTTTTATGCAGTATTGTAGAAATGTCAACAGTACTGTGTGTGTGTGTATATGTGTGATGTAATCCATCACTATACCTATATCTGTTTGTGTTGTTGCAAACTGTTTTAGTGTTTTTGACCCAGCTGCAGATATATGAGCCAAAACACACGACTCAATAACTTTCTCCAAAAGAGTGCTGTTGTTGTTGTAGGTCATCACACTCCAGCCCAAGCAGTCCTTTTGTTGCCATGCAGGGCATCATTCTTCATTCATATCAAGTCAAAGCCCATATAGCGGGAGAGTTTCATCTTACTAACCTCCATCCAGCCCCTTGCATTTCTCCACGGATCGACATATATCCTTTTTCTTCACTTATGGCTGTCTGTCTGTCTGTCTGTGGACAACAACAACATGACTGAGGCAGGAGCTCCCTCCCAGTGCACACACACACTCTCTCAAACACAAGCATCCTTCCCATTCACCTCCACAGCATCAACCATCTTACACACACGCATCACCCAGTATCCTCCCCGACCCCTCNACTTCCTCCTCCTCCTCCTACGATTTCTCCTTTCCTTTCTCAAAACTCAACCATCCGTTGTATTCCAGAGTGGGGAGATGAAAAGAGGAAAGGGGAAAGATTGAGTTTTGAGAAAGGAAAGGAGAAATCGTAGGAGGAGGAGGAGGAAGTAAGGTAGGGTACGGTGCAGCACAAGCAGAGGAGGGAGCAGGACCATCAAACACGTCAGTACATTAAGCAGCAGGGAGGAGAAGCGTGTGGAGCAAAGGAGAAGATTGAGCAGGAGTAGGAGTGAGAGGGAAATATGTATAAGGAGTGGAGGAGTGGTAAACAGAGAGAAATAAACAACAGAGCAAAGTGTGAGGATCACAGTCACTCTTTTCAGCAGACACTGTTGAAACCGTGCGAGTGCGAGGAAGGAGGTGGGACAGGTCGCGACCATGGAGACCAGGGGCAGCTCAGGAGAAGCATAAATGTGTGTGTGTGTAACTTTGTATCAGCTGTACATGAAACATTAAAGGTGGGTAGGTAAGTTTCAGAAACCGGCTCGAGATACACTTTTTGTTATATTCCATGGAATGCTCTTAACATCCCGATAGCAATGAATATCTGAAGTGCTTTGACAACAAATCCATAAAAAAATGTCATCTGTGGAACCCGTAATACTGTAAAAACTACAACCAATCCGTTTAGCCGGGCCGGCTAAACGGATTGGATTGCCGCCCTGTCTGTCAGCCTTCCATCTCGTGCACGCACAAATGTATCTCGTGCCCTCATTGGGCGTGCATTGCAGCAGTACTTCAATGACTCGCCAGCAACAGGCGGCCACTTTCACCATGGCAGAGTTAGGTTCAACATCGTCTACTGGTCGCAAAAGAAAAAATGTAACGGAGCAAATTAAGAACAAAAAGAAAGTGGAAACTAGGAGAAGTCAAACCAGAGTCAATATCGGAGTTGCTTTGGCTGTGTAGTATTGCTAACCTAGATGTGTTTAGCGTTGCCTGATATGTAACGTTACTGCAGCCTGCTCTCGCGGAGGAGGTGCTCTGTAAGGAAGTCTGAAGGAAGGGGCGGATTCCTTTGTGTACTTTCAAATGTTAGTGCACTCGAGTCGGTTTCTGAAACTTACCTACCCCACCTTTAAGAGTGTCTTAGGTGGTGGTTGTTGTTGTTGTTGTTGTTGTTGTTGTTGTATGCAGTATTTGAAATGCACTGGGTACACATGTGAATGAACAATCAGAGGGAACATTGCCCACAGCAACATGCAGAAAATGCATTTGAAATGCTTTATGACTTTGTACTGTTAGGAATATGTTAGCTGAGTATAGACCATGTTCATGATAAGTTCAGTGCCCTGCAGAAACGCCGGTTTTGCCAATTTGTTTTGAAAGTTCAACTGTTATCAAAAAAGTGAGAATGTTTACTGGTGATTCTGGTTACAGACTAAAATGCGATAAAGATGTAAAAATGGAAAGAAAGAAAGAGAAAAACAATCAATCAGTGCAGGCAGAGTGTCGTAAAGGTTCATCCAATCAAATCTTAGATTATTTTTGTGTTCCCTGTAGAATGAAATGCAGAATCTCTTTTGTACACAAACTTATTGTGGAAAAGAAAACAACAACAGCATGAGCCTGTCTGACAATGCTGAATTCAAAGTGAGACAAAGTGATTTGGTTCAGCCTTTATTGTTTGGACATATAGCCTCTAGGGGGCAGGCAGGTAGATGTGTGAATACAGTGAATACTGTGAATGGATGTGTGAATGGGTGCTTCTCATCCAATACTGTACGTTTGTAAATGTGGGAATGAATGGAAACATTTGAAAGAATGTTTTAAATAATTCAAAGGTTTCATATAACTAAATATACGACATATCCTAGTTTTAAAACCTTTTAGACATTTCGGGTTATGGAATCCTATATTCTTGTACCTATTTTGGAGATGCATGGGTTCTACAAGACACTGAAAATATGATGATCAGTCAGCAGGAGTTGATCTGTCGTACATAGAACAGCCATCCACAAACACAACTCTCAGCAAAGCACACTGCAGGCGTTTCCTACTCTGCTTGCCTGACACCAGAAGCTGTGTCGAGTGTTTTAAACTGCTCAGAGGTTGGCTGTAATCGGTGAGCAGCATGAATGTCGATGTGCTTTCAGTATATCTATGTGTATGCATGTAGTGTAACCCTGTGTTTCTGGTGGGGGCCAGTCTGGGCTGCCGGGGGCCGGCTGGGAATTGGGTACTCACAGAACTACTTCCACATGGTCCAGCGCCCACTGGTCATGTCCTGCGCCGTCCTGACGTGGCTGCCACCATCGCAGCATCACCCCCTTAACTCTGGCCTCTCTGCAGACACCATGGGAAACATTGTGAAGTCAGTGGGGGTCAACAAGTATCAGGTATTATATTTGTTTCAAACCAGCCTAATGAAGTAAACCATAATTATTTAAACAGTTACTTTTGACTTTATCAATAATTAATAAATCATTTGAAAAAATTCTTTATACCTCAGTTAGAAACCATTATAAAAAACAACGTTAAGGCTGTGACAAATGTTTAAACTCTGGCCCTATGACGTTTGCTTTATATTTAGTTTTTTTTAATCGAGAACACTTTGCCAAAGTGTTAACATTCTGGAAAACAGCTGTAAGATATCTGGGCTTCGAATTGTACATTTGTAAATAAATAAAGGTTATTTGATGATGATAACCCTAACAACATAAATTAATAACTTTTACAGCATGCATGAAGGATTAGAAAAGATAATTATGAAGCCATTAGTAACAACCCTCATTCGTGGTGTTTAAACTGAGTGTCTCTGCGTGTCACTCACAGTGGAATATTGTAGGAGACTCTCTGGGCCTTTATGAAGTCTTTGGGCTGGTGCTGGGCGATGACGTGCCAGCTGACTCCATTGTTGACGCTGTACTGCAGCAGCACAGCCCGGTCCACTGTGTCCGCCTGATCCAGAGCGATGTTACAGCTGTCTGTCTGTGCCACGCTGCCGATCTGCAGCACAAACATGATCTTACTGCGGGGAAACAGAGAAGAGAGAGGGTTGGAGAAAAGGAAACATTAAAGGTTGATAATACAGATCCTGGTGTGGGGTTCTGTACAGTATCTGTTGGTAGTACCTGTACCTGGCTCTAGTGAGGTCCAGTGGTTTGCTCACCGCCTGCCTCATCTTACAGCCATTGAAGTAGAGCGAGTCTCCGTGGGCATGAGGTGAGAGCTGCCCACAGCCGCTGCCCACCCCCCCGCCCTGGATCAACTGCCAGTTCTCCGTAGAAACACTGCCGGACTCAAAGTTATCCTTGATGGAGCTGGGTAATTCGTTGCTGGAGAGGGAGCAGTCGTCGCCTGTTTGGGTAAAAGGAAGCAGAGACGAGGTGATGACATTTGATGAAATATGCCAGTTTACTAATGCCATGTTGGAACACTGTTCAAGAGATGGCCTTCAAAAAAGCTGTCTCAATCACAAGAAAAAACCTAAACAGTACTTATAGGAAAATTATGTTGTGTATCTAGCTGTGTAGATGTAATGTTTCTGTTTGCAGCCCACCATGGTATCCCTCATCACAGATGCAGACTGCTCCACTTGTACAGTAGCCGTGGCCGCTGCAGAGCCCCGGGCAGGCCTCCCCGATGTAAACATGGTCCACGCCCCAGCTCTGCCGCTCTCCTGTCCCCTCCTTCTGAATCCAGCGGAACTGGGTAGCCCTAAAAATACACCAGAAGTCAGAAAAAGCCACAATAAAAATTGCTGCATGGTTTTATTCAACTGTTCTGTTCCATTGCTAAGAACGGAAATACAATATTTGTGTGCTCCCACCCTGAGGAGACGTGGTCTGGCAGCTGGACCGTGACCCTGGTCCACGTGGAGCTGTTGACTGGACTGTAGATGGTGGACTCGTGGAACTGGAAGGGAGAGCAGCCCACGTTGTTGACTGAGGACGGGAGGCACTCTGACTGAACCAGCTGCCACGAGTCAGACCTGGAGAGAGAAAGTGAGAGATGAGAACCGTCCATGTTAAAATACATTTGATATCCATTTCTATGAATTAAACAAATGGAACACCGTCACAGAAGTGAGAGCGGGAGCACTGAAAACTGTCAGTTGAAATGGTCAGTAGCTGGTGCAGATTCAGGCTAATGACTCGTGTGATTGACTTGAGATTTAACATTGATTTTGTCATGACACCACCTTCTCCTTCTTCTCCATCTATTTTCACAATAAATGGAAAAACATTTAAAAGTTTTGGTGTCAACTATTCGCAAAGGAAAAATACTCCATGACATAAAAAGAAAACCTGACATGAAAGGTACAGCACATTTCACAGTTTGAAAGTGTTTTCCTATATAACATTCTCGTCCTGCCTTGCTTACCTTGCGTCCTTCCTGTACTGCAGCAGGACAGAATGATGGTCCTCACAGGTGTCTGCCTCACATCCGACAACAATCTGCAACAACAAGACAGATGTACAATAAAGGGTCAAAGCCTCCATGTACAAGACAGGAGGCAGCTTTTAATATAGCAGGTGTGTGGCTCTCTTGTAGCACTGTACCTTAAACTGTAGAACATATCCAGGCTGCACTATTAGCTCTCTAGTGGCCAGGATGTTGTGTGTCTTGTCTTGGTTCTTGTTTGGCCAGTAGAGGTGGAAGGAGGGGTTTCCACAGAAGCCAGCTGTGCGCACAGCGTTAGGGTAAAAACTCCAGCTCTCCTCATGTGAAACACCCTCTGGTGGAAGGCAAAGACGAAGGAAGAGAAGATGAAATGAACTTGTTATGACTGGTGATCTTTGCATCGCTGATTGTATCAACACAAACAGACTCACCATCATCAAAGGTGTCAAGCAGGGTGGGAGGGTTGATGTCTGACCCCCCCACTAAGATGTTGTCGATGGCCCACTGTGCTCTCTCCAGGCTGGGGGTGGCAAGGCCAGAGGAAATGGTAAATGGTTGCCACCAGCGAAGGCGAGTAGCATTGGTCAGAGATCGCTCCGGGAGGACGATGTAATCTCTCCTCACCGACACGTACTTCAGATAGTCCATCTCATGCAGCAGTGTCCAGGACACACCTGAGGACCAGATATGTACAGTTTCAAAATGGATGAAATTATAAACAGATTACGATTAAAAAGGAAAAATGAATGGAAGTTGTTCGTGCACCTCCATCAGTGGAGTAGTCCAGCAGCACGCCCTCTTTACGACATGTTGGACGGTGGCACATGGTCATGTTATCTTCACTTCCAATCCTGGCCCAGTACTCCACAAACCTATCCACAAAAACACAGTTCCAAATGCACTTAGAGAAGCACTCAATGTATCAGAAGATGTCTTGCTGTGGTTGAGTACTAACTTTGCTCCGCGGAGGTCCAGGTCTGCAGTGACAGCCTGTCTGGCATCAGCTCCTCCAAAGTACAGCGCTGTCCCCTCCACCAACACCCCGCAGTCTGTGCAGGGTCTGCCGCCCTCCAGCACCTGCCACTGAGGGCCCGCAGACCCCTCCCAGTCAAAACGCTCCTTCAGGGAGGCCTAAAAAAGAACAATGACACAGGTATCTGAATCAGTGAACATCTCAGACAGCTAAAGTCTACTACTCTTTTAGTTTTATAATTAGAGTATTCATTTTTTTTCTTTTAACTGTGTGACAACCAGAGAAGGTCTTAATTTTGTTGTTTTTAAACTTAATTTGGATAGAGTCTTCATTTATTGGTTTTAAACTATTCTGTATCTCTTTTATGCATGTTTTCTATGAATCTGTTATTCCACTATGTTTATCTAATACATTCCTTTCTTTTGTCTTCTCCTTATGTGTTAATGTTGATGTAAAGCACTTTGAATTGTCTGTGTCTGAAAATGTGCTATATAAATAAACGTACCTTACCAAAAAGTGTATCTCGAGTCGGTTTCTCCAAAATTACCTACCCCACCTTTGAGGTATGACATTTAGACTTTTAAAAACATATATAAAATGTCTTCACTATCTAAAACTATGTGAAATTTGGTAAGTTAATTGAAAAGAAATTATGTTACCAATGACTTTATTCAGAAAAAATCTACATTCTTCTTCCCATGTCTTAGCCCTTTTTAGCTTTTGAAAAATGAATTCCAGGCTAAGATGTACCACAAGTGAAGGCCTCATTGTTACACTCATAAATTGAATGCCTTTTTAACAATCTCCATGGGAACGCTGCTACCTTCAGAGCAGTGCTGGCGTAGCAGTTTGGTCCGCTGAATCCTGGGTCACAGAGGCAGCGCTGATCCAGACAATCTCCATGCCCTCCACAGTGGACGCCACACGCTGGCCCGATGTAAAAGTTCTCCACACCCCACTTAATGTCTGAGTGCTGCTGGAAAAACCGGAACCGCACCGCTCTGGAATAAAGACAAGATTAAGGTTAGTCAAAGGTTGTTTCATCATTTATGAGACAAATATTTTAATAATTAAAATGACAATAATGAAATCCATCAATGATTAAGGTAAAGTACGCGTTGATGGTACAATTAAATATGAAGCAGTACTGTATGTTTTGTCAGAAGCATGTGAAGGTATGAGGTAGCATGACTCACGTGTCAGCCAGGCTGTCAGGCAGCAGATAGACCGCCCTCTTCCAGCCTTCAGCAGGGAAGAAGACTGACGGCTGGGACACCTGACCTCCACAGCGGGGGTCCGCAGGAAGGCATTGGGGCACCAAGTACTTCCAGGTCACTCCAAAGTCCACTGAGTACTGGACATGAATCTGCCGGTCTGCATGACGCTCTTGCACACTACAGCCAACTGCAATCTAAATGAAAACCCAGATATTAACAAAAAAAACATCACAGCAATATTTCACTTTAAGATACATTTGATACACTAATCATGCAACTCACATAAGTGAAATAAAGTTACCTTGAACTGCATGACCCAGCCCTTGTCAGGAATAATATCATGCGTGACAGCATACACCTCTCTCCCATCAGCATTGCCACACACCATCACTCCATCTGGAGAGCTGCAGAAACGCTGCACTGAGCAATCCTCTGAGAACAACCAGTGATCGCTCACTGAGAACAAAGAAACAATTCAAAAGTTACAACACTTTAAATAATAAAAACAATATGACATAACTTTACATTCTTTCATTGAGGCATGGATTCAGTAATACCTATAGGAGTCTCCTCCTGCTCCCCCGGCTGGTCCGTCCTCCCTGAGGTCTCGTCAGCAGCAGCTCTCTCATGGTTGGGCAGTGCCACGCCTCCAAAAGTATCAGAGATCTGCGCTCGTGGGTCTGAGCCTGCGATCAGGACGTTATCCAGAGCCCAGTCACTGTGGTCCGCTCCCTCATGCTGAGGCTGCCACCAGCGCACACGCACCCCTTCCTGACGGGCAGCAGGGGGCAGCAGCACATTCACAAACCTGAACAACAACAAAAACATGAAGAAAGTCACATAAGTCCAAAATCAAAAACAATGCGCCCTTTCCCGTTATGTAGTAGCCGTGGATATATGTGTGTTTACCTGCAGAGGATATGCAGATGAAAATTATCACAAATCACACTTTTCTCTTTGAGACTAATGTTTTTTATGCATTGTCCTTTTTTTTAATTAGGACTAATAATGATAACTCTGTTGCATGTAGGAGGAAATACCCATGAGTCATTGGTAAAAACAATCTTACCCAGGCTTGGTGTACAGATCATAGAAGATCTCTGTCAGCAGGTGCCAGTTGATTCCTCCATTCAGACTGTACTCCAGAAGCACTCCCTGGTTACGGTTGCTTGGTGCGATCATGCAGCCGTACATGAAGTAAAACTGGACGAACTCAGCGTTGGTCAGGTTCAGGTCCACTGTCACCAGCTGACGGCTGCAACTCTGTGCACAGACACAAAGAGAAATGTAGTGTAATGAGTCAAGATCAATCTGTACCATCCTTCTAGAAACAAACACAAAAGATTCTTTTTATCACAAACAACAGTTCAGTCAGAAAACGTTTAACAGCAGCATATAGTTTGAGTTTGCCGTCTAGGCTTCGGCCTCATCACTCCCTGTAAATATGGGTTACATAGAACATAGAGGAGTGATGAATAAATAACTGTCCCTTGAAGCCTACAGGTGGATGCTGGGGCGGTGGTTGGGCAGAAGAGTGGCAGCAGCAGCATTAACGAGATTGTATTTGGTTGGTTAAATAAGGGGGTAAGGCCACGCGTATATGTATCATTGCTGCTCGAGTTGACTGCACTAAACTAGCTCGCAGGGGGCGGACTGGGACTACAAATCAGCCCGGGACTCTCGACCGGCCCACTTCGGTACCGCAAGTTATTACCGCTAGTAAATTGTCGACGGGGAGGGGTGCTAGTGATTTATCCGACCGGCCCACATCGTCCGACCGGCCCACTTCAGTACCGGTCCATCGGGATTTGTCCCAATGGCCAGTCCGCCCCTGCTAGCTCTCATTATCCATTACTTAGTGTTAACCAGAATAATAAAAGTGACAGAGGTACATTTTAACTTTAAGAGTTAAACAGAGCAGTAATTTATCTTGATAAAGCTTCATGCAAGACTTTTACAAGGCTGCTCCTAAGAGGTTTCTCTGGCAGTGTGTCCATCCACATGAAAACCAGCCTGTCAATAGTTATCCATTTACAACTCTAAGTGCCTTGGGAAAACTTAAGCTGACATAAGGGCAGAAAGCTACTTACTTTGTGGTCTTTTATTTAATATATACTCAAAGTACGGTCATTCACATATCTGTCCTTTTGAACTCTCGCTGGATTATTTGTTTGTCCCATTCAATCCTCAAATGTCTGTGATTTTGAAGTTTTGGTTCTTTCAATCTCTAAATACTATGGATTCAAAGGTGGGTTGTTGCGTAGATATTATGTATGGTATTTATGTAAATGCTATTGAATACTTTATTCCATATTCATTGCATATTTCTCTTCCACCGAATCCCTGGTTGTGGAATAGTTCATAATGGAAAATGTTTTGATAAAAAAAAGGTGTATTTACCCCACTGAAGTGCAGAGCAGCTCCAGAGGCCACGGCTCCACACACAGTGCTGAGTTTCCCTCCGGTGAGAACATGCCAGTGGGTGAGAGAGGGAGCTCGACTGAAGCTGTCCTTCAGCTGTGAGGGCAGAGCACCCACGGGCTCATCGCAGTACTCTCCCCCCCACTCTGTGTCACACCTGGGGAGGAGAGGGGAGTCAGATACAAATATTATAATAGAAATAAAAACTCACAATCAAGTTATGATGACATTTATTTACAAATCTAGATCCTTGATTCAGTAACTTTATGTGACCAAATCATTAGGTCAAAAAATATCCCACCTTCAAATAAGCAACATGACCGCCAAGTAATGCAGAGATTAAGAAAAGAATGTACTTGAATTACAAAGGTGTATTTCACTCGAACCCCTTGTAGCTCATAATGAGAAGTAGATATATACATGCGTGAGGTTGCCATTACTTACACACAGGAGCTCTGTTGGCAGCGTCCGTGTCCAGAGCACATATCAGGGCAGCCATCTCCAATATAGAGATTATCCATCGCCCAGGTCTGCTGCTTGTCAAAGGGAGCCTGCTGGAACCACCGGAACCTCGTGGCTGGAGACCTAAAGGCATAGATACAAGTGTTGGATACATCTCACAGATTAAGTTTAAATAAATAATGTTCAGTATCAAATATTTAAATTGCTGACATGGCACTTTATGCTTGTGACATAAGCATGCAAGTCATGTTCGGGGCAGTGCTGACCTGGCATACGATGGGATAGGCAGGGTAACACGGCCCCACTTGTTGTAAGTGTCAGAGACCAGCAGCCTTTGCAGGGTGTAGGAGGTGCAGTCGGGGCTCGTAGGCAGACAGTCACGGACCAGAGGCTGCCAGGTCAGACCCAGATCCAGAGAGTACTCCAACTCTACGGCTGCGGAGTAAGAAGAGAAACACAATTGTCAATTTCATGTATATTCAGGAAACTGCAATTAAAAAATTCAATCATAAAGACAGCCTAAAAATGAAAAATAGGATATCAGGCCTTTTTAACATGTTCATTACACATTTAATGAGTTGTGAAGATGTTTTGCAGATGAATAAATAATGAATGTATACTTCAGTTGCAGCCTTATTCAGAATTGACTTAAACAAATAATTATTGTTCTGTTTCTTATTGCTTACAGTAGCAGGAGTTGGTGACAGAGCAGGAAGCGGAAAAGTCAAACTGGATGAAGGCGTCTTGACCCAAACTGATGTCAGTGGTTACAGCATAGCGAGTGTTGGACTTCTCTATGAATGCGAAAGCAGGCCCATCAGAGCCACAGACAGGCATCCGGGTTCCTCCAGGGTGGAGCAGCCATGAGCGCCCGTCGATCGAGGAGAAATCATCCTCCAAAGGTCCCCAGCCACTGGCACTGCCCCCTACTACCACCTTTGGGACAAAAGATACAAGTTGTATGGTCAATTTGTAAGGGGGACGAAAAAAATGAAGGTTTTTAGATGGATAACATCAAAGATGATTAGATGCTTCACTGGAAATGACTTATTGATTGATGGAAGGATGGATGACTGGATGGATCCTCACTTACTGTACCTGGTCAATGACCCATGGGCTGAAAAAGTGTCCATTTTCAGAAGGCTGCCACCAGCGGAGGCGAGTGGAGGATGTGCGGGCGCGCAGCGGGATCTCCAGGGCAACCAGGCGAGCTTGATTGCTGTTGTTACTGAAGAGGAATTCCTGCAGGAGGCCCCAAGTAAGACCCCCGTCCACAGAGAACTGCAGCAGGACTGGCTGAGAGCGAGGGTCAGGAGCCGCCTTACCACAGCCAAGACGCAGGAAGAACTGAACAAACCTGCAGGGTACAGCCATTAACACATGATATTATCACTATAGACTGGAGTTTAAACTACAACGAAACATTGTTGTATGGTTTATTTGTGTGGTCTGTTGTTTGTTTGTGTGACTGTAGCTATACCTGGCATTGGACAGATCCATGTCATTGGTGACCAACATGCGCAGGCCGTCTTCACTGAAGAAGAGATGGTTTCCGCTCGACATGATACCGCACTTCCTGGATGGCTTACCGCCGCTCAGTAGTCTGAAACGCTCAGCATCTATAGCGCCACCTAAAGACACAAGGACACACACAAACACACACATAGAAAGCAACAAAACATTAAGCACAAAATAGTAAATCCTCCATATGCCGTATTAACACATCAAGATAACTGTAGTACAAATAGGACCAATTTGATGAATTATTAAATGATTTATTTTGTGTCTGTAAGTTGGTGTACCTTCAAAGTCTTCCTTAAGGAAGTCAGGGTGGGGGGTGTCAGGCACAGAGCAGTCTGGTCCAGAGAAGCCGGAGTCACACACACAGTGGCTGCCACCCACACAAGCCCCGTGACCATTACACATGTCCTGACACTGAGGGCCAATGTAGATGTTGTCTAACGCCCATGTTGGAGGAGAAGAACCAGTTGAAAAGAAACCCTGATACCAACGGAACCTCACAGACCTGAAGAGAGGACAACATGCAGGGATTAGAAAGAGAAAAGGATAAACTGATAATATGAACAAATATTGTCTTGAAAGCATATTATACAATTGGAGAAGGTTTTCCCTTGTGTACATTTATGCATCTGTACAGGATGTATTCATGTGTCCTTACCCGCAGAGGCGAAGCTTGCCAAAGTGAATGACCTCCCTCCTCCAGCCCTGTGTTGTTCCAGGGAAATAGAGGCTGGCAGGGTGGAGCTCTGTGGAGCACAGTGAGGAGGGCTGGGACCCTCCGGCACACAGGGGCACCAAAAGGTGCCAGGTGGCACCAAAGTCCCGTGAGAACTCCAGACGCACCGGGTTAGAGGAGGAGCTGTCAGCTGTGCAGCCCACATTAATCTGGGGAGTCATAAACATACACCACATCAGGGAAGGTGGCAAGCCATGATTTATGTTTTGAATGAGTAAGTGTTATTATTGATGCTTTGGAGAAGAAGCCATCAAGGCTGGGCTTGTTTACCTCAAACTGGATGATAGTGTTCTCGTTCACGTCAATGTCCCTGGTGGTGATGGAGTGCTCTCCAAGCTCGCTGGAGACAAACACCATGGCTGACTCATCCTCCTCCCTTCACACAAACACAAAGATTGATCAAAAGTATCAACATCGTTTTGCAAGTTTTATCACCTTTGACTTAATAGATGATGACACCGTCATTGTCATCATTCAGAACTGTTTTTCTTACATTCCAGTCTTCTGGTAGGGGCAGTAGAGGCCAGTGTTTCCCCCGGGGAAGAACAGCCAGTTGGATTCATTGGGGCCGTCCTCAAAGCTGTCGATCACCACCGGAGGGTTGTGTAACGAGCTGCCGTCAATGATGAGATCATCTATGACCCAAACCTCCTCCTTCTTACCTGAAGGGGATACAATTGGGGAGATTGTTGCACACTGTTTCTAGGATGATAAAAAAAAGCTAATGCAGATTGCGTCCACTCACCGCTGTTGTAAGGCTGCCAGAGTCTGAAGCGTGTGGCGTTGGTCTGAGCGCTGGCTGGCAGCGGCAGGTGGAGGAACAGAGTGTCAGTTGTAGCTGGGAAGTAAAACTCGTCGAGCATCAGCCAGCTGATTCCTCCGTTCACAGAGTACTGCAGGAGTATTGAATGGGAGCGCTCCGGGACACCTAGAAAAAGCCCACAACTGTTATGACAACATCCTGAGAAGAAACAATATCATAAATATCAAAAATACAGTTTAACAAAGAAGAAACAAGTCATACATGTTACCTTTAGTGATGAATTTAAAGGAGAACTGGATGTAGAGAGTGTTGGCGCAGTCTAGATCTCGTGACACTATCATTCGCAGACCATCCTGCAAACAGACAGAAAGGATTGCATTGTTTATCAGATAAAATGTCAAGGTCATTTAACAACATTATTATTTCTCTGTATGTTTCTTCTACATGCTGTTTAGGACCCATACCCCTTTGAAGATAAGGGCAGTGCCAGATTTGAGAGGCTCTCCGCTCAGGGTTCCCCTCTCTGCTCCGTACACCTCGGGCCACGTCTCCTGCTGCAGGTTCTCATTAAAGTCCTCTCTCAGTACAGATGGCAGGGGGGCCAAAGGCACACAGTGGGCACCTCCATAACCCTTGTCACAACTGTGTGAACATGGGGCAAGGTTAGGTAACATCTAGGCAGAATATAACTGTTAAAATGACTAAAGCTGTGCATAAAAACATGTTTTACTTACATGCAGCGTCCATTGTCACAGAGACCATGTCCAGAGCACATCCAGGGGCAGCCAGGGGCGAGTAACAAGTTATCTAAAGCCCATCCTTCTGCTCCTGGGGTGAAATGGGTTTGGATCCAACGGAAACGAGTTCTGGGGGAACTAAAGCATTCAGAAGAATTTCGTAAAGAAAAGCGTCTGCACCTTCACCTTCGACGATAAACCCATTTTTGTTTTACTATTTATGGTTAATTAAGTAAAAAAACACATACTTGGCGGCACTGGGCAGATAGACGGTGATCCTTCTCCAGTGTTTGTACTGGGTGGAGGTATAGATGGAGCTCTGAGTATAGCCAGCGCAGCCAATGGCGGGAGGCACACACTCCGGGGTGATGAGGGCCCAGTGATGGCCGCAGTCTGTGGAGTACTCCAGTCGCACACCATGAGAGAAGGAGGTGGACTTACTGCAGCCCATACTCAGCTCAAACTGCAGGAAGGATGATCCTGAAACCTCAAAGTCCCAGCTCTCTGCATATCTTGGTTTCTCTGCAGACACAATGTCAAATCAACGTCACATTTTTTGGTTTTAACGTTAACCTGATTCTAGTAATCACACTATATTACAATGTTTTAACTTTTGACAGCGCCTTGAAACAATTCGGTTTTATATGTCTGCTTGGATTAGAAAGTTTGGTTCAGCCAAATACGTTGTTTATCCCTAACTGTGCTGAAATAGGATCTGAGGTATTTGAGATAAATCGGTCATAAAAAATGCATGTTACCAATTTTCTATGCCATATTAAACACAACTTTACAACCAAAACACAAAGTCCAATTGCAAATAAAGCCTTGAAAATCTGTCCGTGCTTGTTTTACAGCGCAAATGAGAATCTCCTTGAAGTCAATAAGTGCTTTATGTGTTTACACAGGGACACCGGAGCTTTATATTTATAGATGTGTTGCCGAATTGATTTTGCTTTGCAGTCTTAATTAATGGCCCCTGTTGTAATGCAATTCTTGTGCAAAGTAAATCTGCTCAAAGCCTGATGCAAGCATAAATATCTGGCAGGATTTTCATTCAGGTTTGCTCTCATTAATAATGCAGGACCCACGGTGCCACAGTGAACGGGTGATTCCATTTCTGCTTTTTGTGTGGGTAACACTGAGATGTCAATGTACAGCCATCTATGTGGTTTGTTGAGTATGTGCATATATGTGTTGGTTAACTAGATGCGCTTATGCATGGATGTTTTGTATGTTTTATTTATAACTCATCGTGCAACTGTCCAGCTGATTTGCAGCAACATCCTGCTTCACATTCCCTACAATACATTCACACTGTAATTCACTCATTACAAAATGAAGCTTTACTGAAGCAGCTTGGTGTTAAGTGTCTTACTCAGTGGCCAATTAACAGTGTCCATTGAGGAAGTCACTTCTTCACTTTGCATGCAGACATTTATAAGCAAGTCTAAGAAATTCAACTGATATCCCTGTAGTCAAATACTTGAAATGTTGTTGGTATTGTATGGTAATGTGTTTGTGTCACTCACTATCAATGGCCTCGGAGTTGAAAGTAAGTGCCGTGTCCAGAGACAAACAGTCCACAGTCACCTCCCCTCCCTGAATGCGGTACCAGTTGTGCCTCAGAGGCGTCGTGCCGTCAAACTTGTCATGGAAACCTGTTCTTGAGCTGTCGTTCATACCAACAAAGACATCGTCTAAAGCCCACTGGGCCGAGTGTTTTCCTACAAGGATGGAAAGAAATAAATACAAATGGAAAAACCAAAATTGTGCTTTAATATCAAAGAAATATTGCATTTCTTCAGTGCTTTTCTGTAGTGTTATGCATATTAATACTGGACTTACCTTGCTGTGGCTGCCACCACCGAAATACTGTGTAGGAAGTTTTGGCTGCAGATGGCAGCTCGATGGTCACCACTTGCGGCTCCAGGAAGGAACTGAAGTCAAGCTCCCTGACAAACTGCCACTGGACACCATTGTTGGTAGAGAACTGGATAATGACACCTTGAATCACAGAACACAGAATGGATATATATTTAAGATGGGAAATCATTGTCATAAATGCAGAACTAAGTCAATTAAGTACATGAAACAATACAATATAGTGCATTACAAATCAAATAACCAGAAGCCCTGATTATTACAGATAAGCTGTTTAGGAGGCTGGCAGTGTTTTATCTGACATTGCAGGAACGATCAGACTGAGCCTTCAGCACTGCTGCGGGCTAGAGATCCACAATCTGCTGACTGGTGAACAAAATAGAACCGACAACAGTAGACTTTGATTCTCCATTAGAAAAACCACCACACAGTCTTGGCTGGATCACAGGATGGATCAAAGATGGACTAGTGAAGAAACAGATGGAGACAAGCCAGAGGTGAACAGATCAGATTTGTAGCTGCTCGCTTCAGACTGCACTGTTAAGAACAGCCACATGAATGCAGCAGAGGGCCTCAACACAGGGTGTGATAACTACCTTCGTTTCGGGAGCGAGGCCGGGTGCAAGTGGGACCCAAACTCTTGCTGCCAATTCGGATGTAGAATTGCACCAACCTGTGTGTAAACAGCAACAACAACATTTCAATTCCACACTAAACAGACCACCAATTCAACTGGTTTGCTGTGCTTACACATCAAAAGCTTACAGGTGTGTGTTTGACTCACCGTGTGTTAGTTGTGTCTAGAGGCACTGTACGCGCTTCCCTCCTCCCAGGGCTACTGAAGTAAAGAGCTTTGCCCTCTCCAATGGTGCCACAGCCGCCTCCGATCTGTCCCCCACTTAGACTCTGCCAGAGTGGGCTCAGCTTCCCCTCAAAGCCCTCTGTCAGCTCTGTGGGACTGGCTACAGCTGGGACACAACTATCCTGCTCCACTGTGGGGGGAAGGAGGGAATCACAAGGTATAACACATCAGGAACATATTTGTTATTGTTTAGTGCTTTATTATTTTGCCTTTTCTTCCTCAGTTTTGTACCTGTGTATCCCATATCACAGAAGCAGACTCCAGAGATGCAATCACCATGCCCCCCACAGTGGTTTGGACATGGCTCAGAGATGTAGACCCCATCCAGGGCGAAAGGAGGGGCATCTCTGTACATGCTGCTCTCCTGGAACCAACGAAACCTGGTTTTACTGGGAAAAATGAGTGGAAGCGAATTAGGGAATGAGAAACAGCAGGCATTTCTTTTTATACCATCTCTGCTATAACTGCATATTCCACGTCTAAAGAAAATGAATAAAATCACAGTTACATCTTTGCACATTGAATTGCATGCCTGTTACCATAGCTACCTGGCAGCAACATTGCGTGGTACGACCACAGTAACCCTGCTCCACTGTTCGTAGTCTCCAGTGTTGTAGACTGTGGGCTCTCTCAGCTCACGGCCGCTCCCCTCACAGATGCCTGCCCCAGGGGTTCCTGGGTAACATCCCTCTATCACCAGCGCCCAGGTACGGCCGGCATCATGAGAGTACTGCAGCATGACTGGAGCAGACGCGCTAAAGTCTGACTCACAGCCTATGTTCAACTTGTAGGGGAAAGAGCGGACAGAAAATAAAGGTCAGCTTATTCTGAATAAGTTTGCCTGATTGTATTTAAAGGGACATCTTTAAAATACTTGCTGACTTTCTAGTTTTAACTCGTTCCATAAGTCTACCTTAAACTGAAGGGTATATCCAGGGCGCAGGGCAAGGTCTCTGGTGACGGCCACCCTGTCCCCATCGGAGCGTCCAAACACCATGGCAGAGGGCGTTGAGGCACAGAAGCTGTCGTTGCTCTCCCTAACCATGCCTTCATTACCCAGCATCAGCCACACACTCATCTGGTTCAGAGGGTAGTCGAATGCTGGCTTTTCGTAAAAGTTCTATAGAGACAGAAACATTAATTTTAGTGTTTTGTTTCAACATGGTAAAAGCAATATTCTTCATATGATAAGTGGATATACTTTAGAGATTCCTGACCTGTGGTAGAGTTGGATTGGCCATGGGGATGATGTGTTTCTCCCTCTCTGATAAAATGATCACATCATCAATAGCCCACTGGTCATAACCGTCCCCAGAGTGAAGAGGCTGCCACCAGCGAAACCTTGTGGAGGGGGTCTTAGAGGCCAAGGGAAGCTCATAGTGGACAAAGCTAGGAACGAAAGAAGAGGCAGGTTATGTATATCATTCAATACTCTTTTCCCATACTGAATACAAAAACAGTAAAAGCAGATCTCTTGATTGGTAAAGATGAGAAATATAAATGTCTTCTTCAACGCGGGATCTCTCACCGAGGCTTAGTGAAGTCAGTGAAGTACATCTCAGCGATGAGGCCCCAGCTGATGCCTCCATCGTTGCTGTACTGCAGCAGCACTCCTTCCTCCCGGCTGTCGGCCTGGTTACACTCCGACCAGTCTCCACCCACCCGCAGGTAGAACTGCACGAACTCCGCCCATTCAGTGTCCAGGTCCCAGCTCAGCAGCTGCCTCAGCCCGGCCTGACAACAACAGGAATGTTACGTACATGCATATTGAGGGAGCGACAGTCAACAACATGTATAAGCTTGACAACATACTTTTAGGTGCGTTATCGTTTATATCCATTGGTCAAATCAAATCAAATCAAGTTTTATTTATAAAGCACATTTAAAAACGATTTGTGGTCGAGCCAAAGTGCTGTACATGTAATAAAAGCACACTACAATAACATAAGGAAAAAAAAGTTGTTTTCTGGTTGGAGTTTATACAGAGGTCAAAGGTCAGCAGTATTTAACAGGAAAAAAACAAGACAGTAGTTAAAGATTGCATTCTGTTGCTCTGCCAAGTTTGCACAATAACAAAGTATTTATCTTAATAACACAAAATGTTTTAACCTTTGTAATCTGGATCTGGGTTTGCACCAAAACACATTTGGATAATTATAGGATTTATGGCCCTGATTTATTTTTAAGTAAGTGCTATAGTTTACACATGCATGCATATCAAAGACTTTAAAAAGCAATTTCTTAACATTGTTTTGCAATGTTAAGAAATTGCTTTTCAAAGTCTTTGATATGCATGTGGATCTGGATGTTGACCCAAAACATTTTCACTTGTTAATCTGCATACTGACAAACTTTACTTCAATCTGTTGACTTCAGCCATAACAACTAACAGAAAGGCAAAGGACAAAAAAACATGACATTCAACAGATTTATAGTTGTTTTACCTTGCTGAAGTACAGGGACGATCCAGATGAGACCACCCCACAGCCCATGTCAGGGGTGACCACCTCCCCACCAATCACCTCCTGCCATGTGGCCAGCATTGCATCCTGGGACTCAAAGTCAGAGAGTACACTGGAGGAGAGGAGGGAGGAGGGCTGGCAGTCTGTTCCAGAGAAACCATCATCACACCTACAAGAGAAGACAGTGGCTGAACCTCCTATCCTTTATCTATCCCACAAACATGTATCAAAAGATAAGAGTGTGTGTGTGTGTGTGTGTGTGTGTGTGTGTGTGTGTGTGTGTGTGTGTGTGTGTGTGTGTGTGTGTGTGTGTGTGTGTGTGTGTGTGTGCGCGTGTGGGTTCTGCTGCTGTGTGAAATGAAGGTCAGCAAGAGGGCAATATCGTCATCACATCATCTCAGTTTAAGGTAGGCTGAGGATGTGTCTGCAGTGGGGGTGCATGCTTGTACATGCTCGCAGTTCGGTGCAAGTACAGTGATGACAGATGCATGTAGAAGTGTAGATAGTCAGGTTTAATGGGGGTTTTATAGCGGGAAGGTTTCTTGGCCTGCTGCTTCGGTGACTTACAGTATATCAGACCACCGCCTAATCAAAACTGGCTGCGTCTGTTTTATTATCATTTACTGCTATGACCCCGTGACCTCCCATCACACCCTGCAGGAGATTAGACCGACTTTATTTAGGAGCCGTGTGGCAGTATGACATGAAGGTGGAGGTCACAGTGATCCGTGTGGAAGGTTTATGTGATTGTTTGAGTTGATATATGTGTGAGGCGAGGCTGTAACAGTACATGTATTTCTCAGGAACTGTTCAGTACAGGATGAATGTTTCAGTATGAGACTTTTTTCATTTCTGTTCGCCTTTTAATAACTGAATTATTACAGTGCTATTATCGTTATGCAATGTGATTACAGTATTGGCACATGAAGAACACACAGTATTACAGCAATGCTGACAGACTGTTTTTTATGTGATTTAAGATTACATAAAGTTTGACCAGATGTTAATATTTTGTGTGGTTAAGTATCTAAATAATTGAAAGGACCATTTGCCCCAAAAATATATCCAAGACCCCAAAAATGTATGTCTTTGTCAAGGGATTGAGAGGAAAAGTGTAATTGTGTGATTTCTTTCTGAAAAGTGCATTTATTAAATGTTGAAAATGACTGTGAACAAAGCACGCCAAACCTTTTTAAAGCATCACTTGAAATTCTTGGTGCCAATGAACAAAAATGTGTATGGAGATGTGTGTCTATGTGTGTGGACATGTAGACATTTACAATAATAGGGGTAGACGCACTATAGTGTCCTCTGTTTTAACTTTACACATTCCAGTAAACACTGTATCGCAGGTGCATTGTGCTTGTTGACTACAAAAGACAACATAAAAGATCAGATCCCAGAGGGCACTTTGTGAATCTTTTTTTCTATCTACTGTACAGATGATAGCTTCTTACCACGTCTTCTGAGGCAGAGAGAGAGTGATGCGTCTCCAGTCTTTGAACTCTGATGGGTGGTAGACACTGGGAGCTGTAAACTCAGAGCAGCTGGGCATGCCAGGCAGACAGGCCTAGGTGAAAAAACAACATTTTATTGCAATATACTAACCATTTTGGGCTAAAAGCATTACCTAATGTTGTTACATAGAATGTATTATTGCAGATTTTGTTTGGTTATAAAATTGTTAAAAAACAGCCTGAGATTCTGATGAATCACCCTGAGGCTACTTCAGCCCCACAGTGTATGCTCATAAAAGGCATTATAGTGTCCCTGACCTTGAACACTGAAACACAAGCCCAGATTAAAAGTACAGGACATTCAGAGAGTTACATTCTGCACTTGCCAGGTGACAGCAGTTTCATGCACATGGGAAAATGAGAGGAAATTCACTGATGGAGGACTCATTACGCCCTATTCAATTCCAAAAGCAATAAAAATCTTGGCAGATACTTTGGTGCCTTATGAATATTTATGAGCCAGTTGTGATCACAGAAAATCTATGTTGAATTATGGAACGATAATCTGCTTGCTGATTCAAGTATTGCCATGTATTTGCAAATAGTAGGATGATAAAAAGTAATTGCGATAATTTCTCATCTGAAACAAAGTGCCACATTTAAATATATTTATATATTATTACAGAGCCCGTAATGGGTAAATCAATATTCATGATCATGAATTAATGATATGTTTCCTTGTCTTTCCAGGAGGACTTCCACAAGTGTAAGTCCTAAATAAAGGTGCAAGACGAGCTGTTAAAACAAAAGGGATCAGTATTAACATGGAAACAAATGTGAAAATGTATCATGCCCCCTCACCTCTTTGACCAGGTGCCAGGTGAGGCCGTGATTGGTGGAGAACTCCAGGCGGACCTGAGTGTCAATGTGAGGGGAGGGCTCGCGGCCGCAGCCCATAACCAGTGAGAACTGAAGACTGTAGGATGCTCCAATCTGCATCGACTGAGTTTCCACGTAACGAATACTGGAGCCAGGGCTGGGCTCCCCAGAAAAACTAGAGAATAACATGAAGAACGAGAAATAAAGTCATACAATAAAAGCAAAAACCTTTAAATGCTATTTCCAAATAATAATATAGTATATACATTTGCCTCAGAGCATTAAGTCTCCTACCTGAGAGTCCAGTCATGCTGACAGTAGGGCTGGACGTGGCCCAGGTAGAATCCAAGACTCTGTGTGACGTCCAGCACGTTGCTGAAGTCAAGACTGATGGTGTTGAACAGCACAGAGGTCATGCTGATTTCATCCAGAGCCCACACATCGTGACTGCGGCCTGAATGGTACGGCTGCCACCAGCGGAACTGAACGCCAAACTTACGAGCACCGGCCGGGAGTTCAACTGACACGATCCTGGTCGGGGGGAAAGTGATGATTACACTGATTTAACACTGGATGGAAAGTTTGCTTGACGTAAGTAATGCATGCGCCATAAACACAACCCACAGATGTGAGAATAGTGGGGGTGCTATCCAAAAACGTTTAAGCTTAAATGAATCTCACAAGTTTATTGAACTGTGACTCAGACACTGACTTGGATCTAAATATTGGATTATAGCGTCCTGTTGGAAAATCTTAAATAGATTTTGACACAATGCAGATGGTCAATATCACTAGCATTAGTGAATACGTAGTCAGTCTTTAGTTTGTTATTGCCAACTTTGTTTCCTCAAACAACTGTTTTCATATTTGCCAAGACAAATTTCTGTATCCTGGAGCTTATTTTTAAAAACATACATGTGTTAGAGGAAGACCCTGCTCTTGCATCTGCAGGTCAGATAGTTGTGTAAAACTTGACCCTGACTCACTGGCCTCCTTTGACCTTTCTTGTGGTGATGAAGAGCTCTGAGACCCGGCCTGCGCAGCTGGAACTCAGCCCACTTTGTCTTCATTACACATAGATGGCTCTAACTGGCTCAATGGGTCCCAGTGGCTTACACCTCCAGCACACCATTAGCAGCACAAATGTGTGTTAATGGAGTCCTAGTGTCTCTGTAGAATCACAAGGATACGAGTGTGTTCACACAAACACACACACTCTAGGCACTGGTGTTACCTTGGTTCATGGAAGCCTTGGTAAGGGTAGTGCTGCAGCAGTGTCCAGGTGATGCCGTTGTCTGAGGAGAAGTGCAGCAGGACTCCCTCTCCTGGCTGGTCTGGGGCCGGACATGAGCTCAGGGTGCTCCGGCTGCCCAGGCGAAGTGTAAACTGTAGGTACCTGCAGAGAATGAAAGAAAGAAAATGAAAGCAATAGGACCCAGTAGGAGGGAGATGAGGCGTGCAGTAGCAGTTTGGATAAAAGAAAACATGTGTGACATAAAAAAAGGAAATGAGAAACAGAAAGAGAAAAGGGCAGGTTGATTAATGACAAGAAGAAAAAGTAAGGTGACCAGGATTGTTCAGGAAGGAGAGGTGAGGGAGAAAGGGTAGACAAACAGACAGTCGAGCAGAGAGGAGGTGGGAGGGAGGTGGCAGGTTGATGGATGAGATGATTAAATGAATGAGGACAAAATTAGATGAGAAGAGGTGGAGGAAATGAAAGAGTAAAATGGAGAGAATAAGAGTCACAGATCACATCCATGTTTCCATGTTTACTGTACATGTAGCACAACTTGTTGTCCTTTAATGTGTTCCATGTTTTGGCGGACACATTATCATCTATACTAATGTAATATGTATTATAATACCCGTCATCAATATCTGGCTGCTGCTCACCCCCCAGCTCTCTCTGTCCTTGGCTGAGCTGTGCTTCCAGTAGCAATGCAGTTTCCTCTTACAGGCAGCTGTTCACTCAATCAGCCAGGAAACTGGCATTAAATATGGCCATCAGGTGGCACACTGAGCGCCGCAACAGGCATAATCAATCTAACACAGATGCCATATCTAACTTCACTGTTCCCTATCTATCTGTCTCCTTCACATTTGTATCCATCCCTTTCATTCCTCCTCTCATCTGCAGTCCCCCCCATGATCACAATCCATCTCCCCGCACAGGAACAGGAGTGTGAGGGAAAGAGGGATTGCTGGAGGAGGAGAGTGTATAGCTGACTGGCTGGAACATTTGGAGTATCAATCAGAAGTAAAGACACCTGATGAAGATAATCCACGGTTTCACAAAGTAATCTACTGGTGGAAAAATTCAGTAGAATCAAAATCTGCTTGTGTGCATGTATCTTTATGTGAATGAAACAAGTTTCTTCAAGTTTTTACATTCATGATCCTGTTCTCTATCAGCACTTTTATTACCTGGCCTGGGAACTGTCTAGTGGAGCCGTAAGCAAGTGTCTCCTGCTGTCTCTGTTGAAGACAAGGGCCTTTCCACTGGCCAGCACCCCACAGCCAAAGCTAACCTCAGCCCCGCGAAGTGAGGAGAAGCTGTGGTAGGAGGAGAGGCGAGGGCTGGAGAAACCCTCCGACAGGAAGGCAGGGAAGGTCTGGGAGGCGAGCTCACAGGCTGGACCGCTGAAGCCTGGGTCACATCTGGGAGGTAAGGAGAGGAGAGGAGAAAAAGGTAGGACGGGGAAAACACGAGACATTAAAAAGAGTGAAGGTTATTAACAAGAAAAAGAAGACAGAGATAATGAAAATCCATTATAATACAATTTGATTGATTTTGAATGGTGATTGGCTCTGTAAGGCATTAGGTGGATAATGTGCCGACTCATTTCAAAAGGAGAGACATCAGATTTATTTGGTTTAATAAAGATAGGTACTTACTTGCAGCCTGTGCGAGAACAATGGCCTCTCCCAGAGCAGAAACGAAGGCAGGCTGGACCAAGATACACTGGAACAAAAACAGGCATGGTTATTACATTTTCCAAAAGGGTATTTAAGATAAGATGTACTTTTATTAATCCCCGTGGGGAAATTGTTTCTCTGCATTTGACCCATCCTTGTGTTAGGAGCAGTGTGCTGCCATTTTGAACGGCGCCCGGGGAGCAATGTAGGGAACGGGACACCTCGGTAGCACTTGGTCTTGCCGGGACTTGAACTGGTTACCTTCCAGTTGCCAAGCCAAGTCCCTTTCGACTTCGCCACCACTGCCCTAATTTTTTCATGCATACTTAGCTGAGCTTTAATACAACTTTTGTGAAACCGAACACATCCTGTATTTAGTAGTTTGAGACCTAAAAGGGGTGATATCTGGGGCTTATTTGTCGGTACTATGATGTGACCTTTTTGTACAGTACTAACCATTATCTATGGCCCACATGTTGCCTGATCCAGAGCCAGACTGTTTCCAGCGGAACCGTGTCGTGTCCGTCAGGGCAGCGTTGGGCAGAGGGATGGAGATTCTGGTCCACCTGGAAAGACAACATTTGATATACCCATAGTGACTGCCCGATAATGATTCATACAAGCACAGACATAAACATACAGATGTGCTGAGTCATTCATACCCGCTGTAGTTTTCAGAGGAGTAGACGGTGCTGTGAGGTAGATGGGGTCCGGCACAGAGCTCAGGCAGACACTCGGTGTGGAGCAGAGACCAGGAGCGACCCTGGTTGGTGGAGAACTCCATACTCACGCTAATGAAAAATAACAGAACATCTTATCTCAACATTTTAATTTCTTCAATGACTGAAGTGCGCTGAATGTAGATGAGATAAAAAGAAAGTAAATGATGTCTTCCGAGACTTCACTGGAAAGTCTCTCCTCTTTTATTAATAAGCACTCCACATTTTAAGCTTCAAATGAGTGCAAGAGTTTGAACCTTGAGGATTTAAATTCCCAGAAGAAATCTTAACAAACTCTTTGAACTCACATTTCTTATTCTAAGGGACCAATTGAGTTCAGATTTCTCTAGATTAGAAGCATTAAGACATTGTACCTTTAAGTTGCACCATTTGCCATTTTGGACACCAAAATAACCCAGTGAACCTAGGCTGGTACACTTGGCGTGTTGCTCTCCTTTGTTGCTGCCCAATTTTGTGAGTTTTACATAGAAATTGTCAATTATTTTCACACAAAAGTACTGGCTAACCCAGTTCAGAAATGTGTCACACCTGTTGGCAGGCTGGTAGGAGCCACAACCGAGGTTGATGGAGAACTGGGCAACATGTGTGAGGGTGCCAGGTAGCACAGGAAGCAGCTGCATGAAGTCCACGGCCCACACATGACGTTTGGCACCATCATGTGACCGCTGCTCCAGGCAGAACTGGGTGACCGTTGTTTGTAGCTCAGTGGGTAGCGCCACCGAAACCAACGCAGGAGTCTAAGATGCAGGAAATGGACGACAGAATATAAAGATCAGACAATAGGAAAGATACTAATTAGAAAATTGTGAAAAAAGCTAATTTATTACAATAAAATAACCTAAAATGATGATACCTTTAAATTGCTCAATTTGTTTGTCAAAAAAAACAAAGATATTTAGTTAACGCATTTACAAAGAATCATTAAAAATAATCAGCATTTTTGCTTCAAAGTTACATATATGATGAATCAACTATCAAATTATCGCTGATTACCATTCTGTTAATCCTCTACAGTTATTCAGATCTACTTGTAAATATATCAATCGAACATGTTAATGTGCTTGTTCAGCAGTTGAGCATGTTTCTGTTTATAACCAAATGCAGTGGCGAGCCGTCAGGGCCCTCTAGGCCCTCTGTGAGGGCCTAAGATATTCTAAAAAATAATATTTGAAAACATAAAAAAAGAAACGTTTTTTTTAAAATATAATTTTTTATATTTTTTTTTTGTTAAATTTCTCATTAGTTTTACCTAAATAACTTGATTTAATTGTATTTAAAATAACATTTCCAAAGAAATAAATACTTCGAATCTGCCTGTTCAGTCTCTGTTGGAATGTGAAGGGTTAAATGCCGTCTCTGCGAGTTACTGTGAAGACGGGAGAGCTTGTTGGTCCCTCTGTACATTCACAGAGGGCCAGCTATAGTAACTCAATGAGAGAGTAATGTCAAATGACAGTACAATTGACCAATCATATCTTTCCTCTAAATGGGTGGGCTTTATTGATAGAACGACTGATAAAACCTATTTTACAAGCTATCAAAATCTATTCCAGAGTTTCCTAAGAATACCACAAAAGAAACCTAAAAATGTACCGCTACCATATAAATGTTTTTTGTGTAACATGTTGTGCACGTCTCACCCTGTATGAAGAGTAAGTGAGGGTGTCGAGCACCATGCGCTCCCTCCGGCCTTCAGACCTTCCAAACAGAATCACGTCGTTCTCATGAGACTCTCCTGGATCACAGTCGCCACCACCTAAACACACACACATGTATGCAAAAATATTGACGAAAGCACAACGCAGAGCAGGGTCAGGCTCACAATAATGGATTAAGTAAAGCTGTTGTTTAACCCAAATAAATGTAACATGAATTGAGGACTTTCATACCCATGGTAAAGTGGAAGCGAAGGTTTCCATAAGACGTGGTGTCGAGGTAGGGGGTGCACACTCTCCTCCGTCCCTCCTTCTCAAACACAAGTGCTGACCCAGACTCGATCTCTCCACACTCGGTACCATAAACAGCCCCTTCTATGTCCCAGCTGAGAAAGAAACACAGGCAGGAGGTGTAGTAAGTAACACAAAATGTTTACAGCAAAATGCTATAAATGTATGTACTTAAAACAAGTGATACCAAATGTATGAGGCAAAACAGCATTAATCATTTAAATAAAAGCAACTCAAGAAATCATTCCACAAAGTGTATTGCTCCTAAACACTTTTATTTCCTCATATCTTTCACATTTAGAAAGTTAATGAGCTGAATAAAGTTTAAAAGAAACAATTGTTAATTTTTGAGGTTATTTTTTACAATGTTAATATATATAATTCATTATTCAATACATAAAAAGAGGCAACAAGCACATAAATCTAGGGTAGGCAATTATATTTATTTGTTATACATCTTTAAATGTCTTTAAAGCTGGATAGCATCCAAAACTCAATGCTCTGGAAATAAATATTTGGCTGTCGCAGGACTGTAATATGCTTTAACGGTAGCCAAATATCAACCCCCCAATGATGACTTCATTGACATTACAGCACACAGACACAGCGAACATGGGATGCAAACACTTTATAGATTGCATCTTTTGCACAGAATCTCCCTAGAGTAATACTAAATCAGTAACAGTAGATAAACTTTAGACCTCACCTTTAAACAAACACACAATGCCAGGAATTCAGCATAAATCACCTGGAAGATGACTTACAAATACACACACCAACACACACTCACACGTGTGGACACATATTCCTGCGCAGTGGAGAGAGGATCCTCATTAGCGCTGACAGAAGTTGACTCAGTGTGTCAGCCCTCTCCTGTGTTCCTCTACCTTCCCTCTCACTTTCCTTCCCCCCTGTTCCTCTTTTTTTTCTGCCATGCAGTATATAAGCTGGTGTGTCTCTGTCACAGCCAGTATTGGGTTTAATGACACTTAGTGGAAAGTAGCATTGACACAAGAAAAAACTTTGCTGGCCTACCTAACACATGTGTCGGTCGCTGACACCTGATGGATGAGAGCTAGCATCCAGTGTAGCATGTTAGCATGCTGCAGGAGGTGTGATGGTGTGGGGCGACCATAGAGAGACCCTCCTGTTTAGGTCCTTCTCATTAATGGAAAAACATACTGACAGACCTGCTGCATGAGGCCTGTTAATTACTCTCTGGCAGGAACACTATCCATCATCTCTCCTCTTTTATCCCTCTGCCTCTTGCGATGCTTCCGACAGTGTTTTCATGCTGTCTGCTGTCCAGGGTGTGTGTGTGTGTGTGTGTGTGTGTGTGTGTGTGTGTGTGTGTGTGTGTGTGTGTGTGTGTGTGTGTGTGTGTGTGTGTGTGTCTCAGTCTAAACAGATGGACTGCTGTCTCTGTAGCAGTCAGAGGCATGGCTTTCACCTGTGTCAGCCCCCATGCTTGACTTAAACTTGTGCAACACACTGCATGTCACATGGGTTGACATATGAGAGATGACAGCTGTGTCAAAGCACGTGCATGTATACACACACACACAAACACACATTTTGTTCTTTAAACACCATAAAAGACCATTGCCTCAGGTTTGGCTACCAAATACGGTTTTAGTTTATTAGCATTATGGCTCCGCGACAAACTCCCCCTCAGCATCAGGACAGCTGAGCCAGAGACACATTTAAAAAAAACCTTCAACATATATCTGTATAGAGCATTTTATAGTAGAACTTCAGTGTTATTTTGTTATTTGTAAATGTATCATTAAACTTACTTTGAGGGCGGGCTTTCAAAGTCTTCCTCCCAGTAGCTCCTTCCCTCCTCACGATGCAGGTCAATGTCTTTGGTGGAGGCAAAGCTGTGGCGCACTCCCTCACCACCATGGAAGTACAGGGCATTGCCCTCGGACTGACAGGCGCGCTGGCCAATAAGAACACAGGTGTTAACAAATGCAACAGGTGCAATGCCTTCGAAAAAATCACTTGTAGATCGAAACTCCCCTGTGGAAATGTTTAAGGCTGTCCATGACTAAACAAATATCTTTATCCATCTAATACTCGTATCACTATGTCAACAATAAACGAGTGTATTTAGTCAAAGTAGTACCAGTAGTAGGTTCCACACATTGGCAAAAAGACTACATTATATTGTTATATTATTATATTGTGTATGCAATAGATTTGCTCATTATTTCTTAAAATTCAACATAAAAAACATGAATAAGTTAAAGAAATGAAAATGAAAATGAAGAACAAGAAAGCCTACTATTTCTCCCCCTTGCTCTAAGATTAAAAGCACCTCATGATTATGTTATTTACTCTGCTTTAACATAGCAGAGCACAAGTTGAACATGTGTCTTTCAATCAGCAGCAGAAGTTGTTTTGTTCATTGCACATTTTGTGAGTGAAATCCATGCGTATAGGCGTGATGAATGTCCACAACTTTATCAATGTACCTTAACTGTAGCTCCAGGGAAGAAGAGCCAGTTGCCTGTGTCAGGAGGGTCCAAGGTGTCCTCCATGAGGGGGGCTCTGTGGGCAGCGTTGACCAGCAGCACGTTGTCGAGCCCCCAGCAGGACTCATAGCCTTCGGGGCCTTGGGGAGCGTCCTGAGACCAGCGCAGACGAACACCATCAGACTTGGAGTGATGGGGAAGGGGCAGCAGGTGGACGACTGTGCTGCTGTTTGTAGGGGCGCTACAGGAAATGAAATAACATTAGGGTCTTGTGTGTGGTGTCTGTGTTTATATAATGAAGTGTTACATGTTTATGCATTTAATCCTCATCATTAATCATTAAAATAAGGCTGAAATAGCCACATATGGAGAGGCACTGCATGTCCTTATGGTGAAGTGAAAATGAAAGAGAGAAGCAGGATTCAAAAAGTTAAATAATCAGAATTTGATTTATGTATTTTTTTCTGTGTCCACAACAGCTATAGCATGACCTTACTGCAGCTACATATGGTAGTTAGAAGACTGTACCATTACATGTTGTCTCTGTTTGAGAGCTAACCAGACAGAGGGAGGGATATAGGGTTAAAAAACAGGGGATCATAGAGAAACGAACAGGATGACAAATTGAGAGGGGGAGGTGTGACTGTGAGGATACAAAAAAAGAGAGGACGGGTGTTCATGACAGATGGAAGGACTGTGGGATGGATGATGAGGAAGGAAGGAGAGGAGAGAGATAGAGACCTGATCTTCTCCAGTGTGATCCAGTCATCGGAGGTGTTGCCGTTACCACTTAGGCTGTATGACACAGTGATGCTGGGGTCTGAGTAACTGAAGCGGCAGGATCCTGAGCCTGGGGAATACGAACACACACAGAGGACAGACATATATGATGGTTAACACTCCTGTTGAAGGAACAACTACACTAGTTTCCTTTTTTCGACATTTGAATTTTATCAGCGGGGCAATGATCCTTAGTATGCCCTGAGGGGCAGCCGGGCCTGATGGCTTCTTCTGACTGATGATCCCACATTCCCCCCTTAGCCGAGTGGAAAATGATGTGTAAATGATTATGTAAAGTGATCAGCAGCCTAACAGGGCTGAGAGAAGTTCGGAGTCGGTATGCAGGGGTATTGCAGAGATCATCGGATTTGTTAACCATCAATAAACCAATTGTAGTGAGCGAAAATCACTGTTCTGTAAAAACAAACATTTAATAAAACAACTCTCCCAACTATTTTAGTTTCACTGAATACTTCAGTATGTTATTTATGTCATTTAGTTTTTTTAAACTGCAGCTAAAAAAATTAAAGCATTAGTTTTGTACTTATTTTGTATTTTTATTTTTATTTTTTATCATTGATTGCCTTTTGTACCGGATATGCCACTTTTGCTGTAACGCTTACATTTCCCCACTGTTGGACTAATAAAAGAATTCTGATCTGATTCTATTCTGATCTGATGAAGGACCAAAGATTCTATAAGCCACCTACAGCCTGATACTGTTAGTACATTTGTGTAAGCTTATTTTTTTGTATATTTCCGCTTGACAACATTTTTGTGGGGTAATCTATTTTTGCGTCTTTAAAATGCAGGTTTGTGTGGGAGCTTTGGGAGTTAGCTGGGTCAAAGGTTGCTAATGCATGAAGCCGGCTAACTCCCATCGCCCAATCTTTCCCTCTTCCCTCCCCCTCTCCATACCCCCCATCGTGTGTAGCATCAATGTCCTGCCGTGCTGCTTCATCCCGACAGAATACAGCCGTGCCTTTACACTGCTCTACTGAACTGCCCCATACATAAGAATGACTGCATCACAAACTCATATTAATGTCCTGCAAACCGGAGCAAAGCCAGACAGAACATTTAAAGAGACATACAGTACAGACAGGGTATGTCTCAGGAAAGTATTATTGGAAATGTACACTTATTTCCTCTCAGTCTGGTTCCCATGAGAATTGGTGGATGCATGAAATGGACATGAAAAATACAACATGTCTAAAAACTCTGCCATGGCCTTCTGGTCTCTTTCCAGAATACTATAAATCATTCATCATTGTGAGAGAAGAGCAAGAAAAACAGAAATATATTATGTACCAGTTGGCTTCCTGACATATTAGAGGGCAAAACCTGCCTATTTCTCGAGGTTGACAAAGTTATCTATTGTCCTGGCTGTGGAACACTTTCTCACTCAGGGCTAAAGTATTTGAACAGAGTTAAAAAGGTCTCCCACATAAGCCTGTCATACAACATCTGTCTGCATCTGTATTGCCTTGCTTCAGGCGATTTGATACTTACCAAGGGCAAACTGCAGGACTGAGGCTGTGCTGGTGTTGAGAGGTACCGTAGTCTGGGGAAGAATCACAAGGAAGTTTAGTATATCCACCATTAAAAAAATCAAAATAAATATGAGCTGCTGCAACACCAAGCTTTAAAGCTTTGTTTCCCTGATGTTCTATTTGTATACTTGGTTAAGTCTACCGAATGTAGCAATGAGGTCATGTGTTTTTAAAAATATATATATTTCCACATGAACAAGACTGAAGAAAGGGGGACAACTTAACCATTTGAGGTGAGTACAACATGAAAACAGAAATGGGCCATAAGGAATCTTTATAAAGTGTGTTCATGAGTACTGTGTGTGCGTCTGAGAGAGACAGCAATTGAAGTAAACGATAGGCTGTGTGTACGAGAATTGATGTCCTCATTGTTGATGATTGTTGTTTTAAGACTATCTATGCGTAAACGCTTCTGTTTTCCCTGGTGTGCGCTTGAGAGTAGAGCTGCCAGGCATCCAGCATTTGGAGCAGTGACAGACAAAGCAACTGTTTATCAGAGAAGTAAATACAATAATGAGGCACTAACTATTCTCTGCCGCTCACTGGCTTTAATCTCTTAACAGAATAATAATGCTAAATCAATTTTGTTGTGAAAAAGGGCATGAAAAGGTAGCAATTATGAGCTGATGTGTTGGCATTATGTGTGCATGTGCTAAACTGTCAGGCAGTAGGCTGAAACTACTGTAAAATGAACATGGTATAATACTACGTTCTGCCTCTGCCTCTTCTGGTTTATTAAAAGGCTATTATTAAAGTGCAGAAATAGTTTGAGTTAAAGTTGTGAGATGACCAAAATAAAGCAGCAATAGACACAAATGTATAACCTGCCGACGATATTATGAAGATAAACAAACCATGAGATACAGGAAGTTACTTGTGTATACATGCAAAAAGCAATATAAGTTCTTCACTAATTTAATCTGGATATGCTTTGATATGGTTGCCTTTAGTCGTTTTTGGTTTAAGGTAGAACTACTCGGATGCATTTGGGCACATTTAGTCACATAACATACATGTACGCAACTGCAAGTGTGATATTGTTGTATCTAAGCTTGCTTCTGCTCACCAATGCACATACTCATTTTGGATATTTTAGCACTTGAAATCAAAGGAAAAGATAATAGTAAATTAAATAATGTGTTAATAGATTCATTTGAATAGCTTAAGGAAATGTGTTGATGCTCATCTTTGTTAGAAGACATTTGTAGAAGTCTCAGAAGAGTTAATAGAGATTCTACTGTGGTCACAGCTAGTGTGCTGTGATTCACTCTAACTGTGGTTGTGGCTCCTGCGAGGTTTGTCGGATGTAAGGTCAATGGGCCGTAACATGTAGAGTGGTGACAGTGTGGTCAAACATGGCAGTTACCAGCTCTCGTCCTCCTAAGGGCTCACAGAAAGTGACCGCTCTGCCGTGCATCAGTACACCACACTGCTCTCCGACCTCACAGTTACTGCAATCAGACCTGTGAGGAGAGGAGAGGAGAGGAGAGGAGAGGAGAGGAGAGGAGAGGAGAGGAGAGGAGAGGAGAGGAGAGGAGAGGAGAGGAGAGGACAGGACAGGAGAGGAGAGGAGAGGAGAGGAGAGGAGAGGAGAGGAGAGGAGAGGAGAGGAGAGGAGAGGAGAGGAGAGGACAGGACAGGAGAGGAGAGGAGAGGAGAGGAGAGGAGAGGACAGGACAGGAGAGGAGAGGACAGGAGAGGAGAGGATAGGACAGGACAGGAGAGGACAGGACAGGACAGGAGAGGAGAGGAGAGGAGAGGAGAGGAGAGAGAGAGAGAGGAGAGGAAACTGAGTTATAACAAAAGCAATAAAGGGAGACCACCGAAGATTCAAAGTGAAAGAGATTGCGCTGTAAGATTACAAGAGGAGTCATAACCTCTTCACCTACCAGATGCTCGGGTCCAGCTCTCCTTGGAGGTTGGAGTCAAAGTCGTCACGCAGCACAGCATGCTTGCCATGGAGCTCCACTACACACACACACACACACACACACACACACACACACACACACGCACACACGCACACACGCACACACGCAAACACACACACCATATGCTCACAGTTAGTCACCGTCTGTATGACACTTTGTCCTTTCATGTTTTAATTACCTGTGTGATTATAATATCAACAGCATGTCATGAAAAGTAGACTCACCAAGACTGGGTCTCAATGGGGACTCGGTTGGAGCTGAAACAGACGGAGAAGAAGAGAGTAACAAGTTATAAAGTGGCATCATCTTGAAAGTAATGTACAGGCATGATCGGATGTCTCTGATGCCAGATCAAGAGCTTTAGAAGATGTATGGGCTTTTATGATAGTATATAAACAAAAGTAAATGTGGTGACTACAAAGACTTTTCATATCTGTGCCGTTTTGCATTGTTATTTACATTGAAAAAAGTGTACGGAAAATGGGCCTATTCTCAACTCCTGTCTGAGTGAAACAAACTTTCTCTGTGTCCTGGCTGCAGTCTCCTGGATGCTGATCTTAATTCCTTTCAATAATGAAAGGCTGGGCGGCCATGATTAACGGTTCAATGCCAATTAACCGCCATCCACCCCAGAGGCGCCAGTGTGCTGTAATCTGTGGCCACCGACGAGCTAACACACTCAACCATCAATCTCTCCCAGGGGATGCACAGCTCTGAGAGGAGGGAGGTGAATGCAGCGGGGATAGAGAGTGGTAAGACTTAATGAATCTAACATGGGTTTAAAAAAAAACAATCACTGGCTCTGATTCAATCACTGAGAACACCTAATGAAATACAGCCTGCATTCACATTTTAGAAAAGTGTATTTGGTGTGACCTTTGAGCTGGAGAAGATGGAGGGGTTCTTACATTGTGAGGTTTGAAACTTAATAAATCAAACTGAGGACATCGTAACAAAAAAATGACTCCTTCAGAAATTGAGAACTTCTGTGTTTTTACAAAAAACACAAAATAAAATGCAAGTTGCACAACTTTGATTTATCTTCTCAAGCACAATTCGGAAGATTCTTTTGAATGGCCGTATTAGAGAATTTGAGTTTAAACTTGTTTCATGATCATCCACTATACAGCGGCACAGCGACCTTAGTGAACGTGTCAGCCTTCAATCCCTTTGAGCTTCTTTGCTCTGCTCTGATTTTTTTCTTAAATCAGCCGTACTCCAGACAGAATAGAGGGATAATCTGTCCCACTATTCTCCGGCAGGGATGAGTCTGCCCACCTGATAACACACACTAAGATAACACAGGGAGGACTCGATCAAAGTTTCGTTTCAAGTTACTTAAGACTTTCCTATAAACCTTACAGCAGTTCTAACATTTCTCTGAGAGAGGGGCTTACAGTTAGGAAAGTCCACCTAAAACCCACTTATAAACAACGGAATCTGAATCAAATGTGGAACGGATTATCCCAAAAAAAGGTTTCTCATTATCGTAATGACTCTGCAAATGTCTTTATTTGGAGCTCAAGCCTTACTTTCGTTAGCTGCCCTATTTTCTTTCTATTTGATCCGAATGCCGGGCACTTTGGAAATGGATTTACTATTCACAGAGCGCTGGTAAAGTTTCATGCTGACGGCAGAAGTTGGCGTCTTAGCTGCCTGTGACAGAGCTGGGCGGTTCAGTAGCTGCGAGGTGGGCCCTGATGCTCAGCTCCATGGCTGGAGCTCGGGCTCCACGATGAAGCCCATTAAAAGCAGATCAAAGGGGCCTCCTTCCTCCCTCTCTTACTCTCCCTTCCTCACCCCCTAATCCCCAAATGTCTGCTGATTTAAAACATGTTTAGAGGAGCTATCAATCCCAGCATGGGGAACTCTCTAATGTTTCTTGTACCTTATTATCATTCCTATTAGGGCATAATACAAATGTAATTCAGATGTGTGCTCATTTTACATGTTAAATATTCAACCTGAAAAGAGCATGTACTAAAAACCCATTGCTCGTAATCCACCCTCTTAAACTGACATGCAGTAATAAATGCTTGGTTGGTATTCTGCTCTCTAAAGTCTGTCTCTTAAACAAGCCTTTCTAAATCGTTCTCAGTCTTTGTAGTGAGGCCATTTGGCTGGAGAAAGGCCCAAAAGATCTTTTTTTGGGTGGATAATCCCTTCAAGCTTCCAAAAAGGCCTAATTTACAGTTTTCTTTCTCCATGCTTCATCACGCTCTCCTGCTGTCTTTCTCACTTCCTTTCTATCCCAATCTCTCCGTCCTGCCCAACCCTCCATCCGCACCCATTCTGTCTCTCTCTGCCTAACCCTCCGCACATCGGGAGCAGACAGTGGCGCTCATTTCACTTGGATTAATCCCCTCTCACTTTCTTAAAGACTTCAATTACCGCCTCCTCTATTTGCGGCTCATCTCTGCTAATGCCTGTATCTCCCTGGCCAGGGCTTATACTCATAGGCATGCAGAGGGACGCAAACATGCGCGCACACACACACACACACACACTCTGCTTTTCCTTCCACAACTGACCCAGGGCCGCACACATAAACAAGGGCAACAAAAACGAGGGGTTTCTCAAAAAACTGCACCGAAATTGGAGGGTGCCGATGAACAGGGTTGGGGGGATACAAGGGGGGGACTAAATGAGCCTAAGCTTTGGCAGACTCAGACATCTCGGTACAAAGAGCGCAGGGCACAAGTCATGTTAAATCTTCTCCCCCTCTCCTCTCCATCTTCCAGCTCTAATCTCCTCTCGCTCCTCGTTTTCTCCCCACCCTGTAAACTGCACCCACTCTTCCAATCTCCCTTGTTCTCGTCTCCTTTGCTAGTTTTTCCCTTCGTCTGACTCACATCCTTGACGGCCTGAACTGCGTTTGAAGTTTGCTTGCTCCCGACTAACTGACGGTTGCAATTACTGACTCACCAGGACGCAGGATGCTGTTGTTTTTCATTTTACAATGACTAGAAATAAATGGTTTCTCCAGCCAAGGTCAGATTGCTGCCACTTCAAACCACTCAGCGCAAACCAGAGTCTTTGTGTGGGCTACAATTGGCATCATTACAATAATCATAGGTGAGAGGAGAGCGGCAAAGAAGAAAGACTCACTACTATTTTCCAATATCCGTGTTACCTTTTACGACAGTGTTTTTAAGTAAATGTTGAATAGAAGGAAAAGGGTATGTTTGTCTTCACAATACAGAGTGTGTTGAGGAAAATGCTTATCAAGCACGCAATTATTGTGTTTAGTCTTTATCTCTTTGGAAAACATCTACAGGCTCTCAATCTATCAGAGATTGTGGGAAGCACAGCGTATATTCTTCCTTTTATTTGTTATTTCAACAATAAACAAAAAAGCAAAAGAGGAATATGTCTACTTCTCTGTGTAAAGAGAAAAGTAAGAGAGAAAGGAAATAATTGAGAAACGAATGGAAGGGAAGACAGTTTAATAGGGGAAGAGATATAGACTAGATAGCGAGGTCTCAAGGTTTCTAGCTGGGGAGCCATGAGGGATGGCAGTGCAGCCGGCGCTCAGCCAGGCGAGCAGGCTGGCTGGCAGACTGGGTGGGTGGCGAGGAGGTGGGAGAGGGGAGGCCACCCGTCCCTGCTCTGCTGCGCTGTGATCCAGCGTCCCTCAGGGAGCAGTGGCCTGTTTGAGTTATATGTCCCTTTAATAATCCATCTGGGGTGCAGTGCAGTCGGCCAGGCCCATAAAGACCTGATTTATTCCCTCGCTGGAAATGAGGGGACCTGGCGATGGCGAGCAGAAAGCAGGGGCTGCTGGCCCTGCTGTCAGGAGATAGAGCTGATGGACGGCCTGCAGCGCCATCGAACACCGACAACCACTCCACCCTCCAGCATAGAGCCCCTTCCCCTATAGCCCACCCCTACCTCTCCTCGTTGTCCGCCTGAGCATAATAAGTATTTTTATGGTCGCTCAGTAGGAGCGGAAATGTACTTCTGTTTTCATCCTCCTGCCTGTCTGTTTGCATTCTTGCAGTCGTTTAAAACTGTGGTAGTAATTTACATTTTGTCGCATCATGCTTTAACGCATTTCTAGGAGCCTGTCCAAACAATTTCGCAATGCGCTGATTGGTGCCACGCACTACTCTGTTGCGTTGTGCATTTCATTCGGTTGCAACAGTATTTGTCAGACACCCATTAGTGGTGTCTTCTGAATCCACAAGTAGGAACAAATATGGGCAGTTTTTCTTTGCTGGTTCTGAATAGAGTAATGGGGTGTTGTCAAAGCAGACTGGGAGGATGAATTTAACGTTTAATGAAGCAGAGAGGGAGCAGTTTGTCTGGGACCAGGCAGGCCCAACATTGCTTAAGGGAAGCAGAGTGGAAACGATAAAACAAACACTTGTCTCAGTAAACTTTCAGGAAGGCTTTCTGTTACTTAGAGCAAAGTGCTGCATGTCAGATGTACCAAAGTGAGTTAAACTTTCCTCTTCTTTCTTTATTCTTAGCTCTCTTATTAACATGATCATGTATATCTCCATCTCTTGATGTATCCCCTCTAATGTTACCCTCCTCCAGGCTAATCTGTCACAACTCTTGAGCCTGGCTGATCAGCCCTGATTGCCTACTTATTTGAGCAGCCTGCCCTCTGTTTCTCTCCCTCTATTCCTTTCCTTTCTGTTTTCCTCCTTCCCTTTCTATCCTCTATGGATCATAACCCTGCTTTAGATAGCTTTCATTTCCCCAACCTTTCAAAGCTTGAGTCTTAAAGCACATGAACTTCTGAAGTGGCTTGAGCTGGCCCCCGTATCTTTGATTCCACTTTGAATGCTAATGCCTAGATTTGAAGTAACTTTGCTCAAAGCAGCTTGCACTCTCCCCGCCACTGCAGCTGAATTTGAGACAGTAGCCTATTTGATCCTGCAGAAAGGAAAAAGTCTACAGTCATCTGCCTCACCCACTAGTAAGTCTGACTGAACACCAGGTTTCAACAGGTTGTTTCTTAGTGTGTGTGTTTGCAGTTTGTAATGCACCACAGCCCAGTTTGTTTCATGTTTTCACGTGTTCCCTGCATATTCCATTTTCATTTTTCTTTGTAATCTGCACAGCTCTTTGGAAGTTATATTTTGGCTTGGAAAGAGAAAAAGGAACTGACTACAGTGAGTTAGATCAATGTGGAGGAGAAAAATGAAACGTATTTCAAACAATCCACAAGGAAGAAGAAATCATCAGACCCATTTCTGCTTCCTTCTTTCTCTCGTCTCTCCTCGGTCTCCCTTCGCCTTGTGTTGCCCACGGCATGTTCGTGTGTCATTTGTTATTCAGATTTCCTGGCGTAGTTCAGCAACAGAAAGAGCATTGCATTTTTGGCCTTCAAAGAAAATAGCCTACAACAAGGTCGGCCCCCCGCTCCCATCTACTCTTTTGTTAATGATGTTTAATCACTGCACTACTTCTTTTTAACACTCAAATCACCTGCAATGTATGACCTTCAAGATGCTCATTACTATTATCTTTTCATCCCACCATATGTGTCCTTCTATCCCCCATCTGTCCTTCAGCATTCAGACAGAAACTGTGAGTACTAAAAGAAGTAATTTATAGCTCTACATTGCTTTGCTCCTATTGTCCCCTTATCACTTTCACCACCCCGCCTGTCCAGCTTCTAAAACCTTCTCTGCAGAGGATATTTGTTACATTATTTCATCTGTCTGTTCCTATTCCCAACGTGTCCCCTCCCAGGCCATGTAAGGTCTAAATCTCTGCTTCCAAGCTTGTCTGCTGTGAGTAGCTGTGTGTACGAGTTATCCTGCAGGGCCTTGGCATGAGACAACCAAGAGACTGTTGTTGGCTGAAGATAGTTCGGTTGCAGAGGGAGAAGACTGGGGCAGTGTGTCAGCGGCGGTGAGAGGATGAGCTCTCGGCAAGGAGACGGAGGAGAGTCGCCTGGTCTCTCTCTCTCTCTCTCTCTCTCTCTCTCTCTCTGTCTCTCTTCCAGGCCTGACTGAGGGCTCTCTGCCCCATCTTCTCCAAGTGGCACTGAGCCATTAAGTTGTGCACTCTCTTCCTGGCATGTGCTACAATAATCGACAGTGTCTCAAATGAACTGCTGAGGGACACACTTGTTATGAAGAGTCCTTAGAGACTTGCCACAGAGGTTGTTGTTTTAAAAAATAAATAAAGACCATGTCGAAAAGCAAACATGTTTTTCCCCCTGAAACAGTTAGTGAAAAGACCCCAACAGCAGTGAGTGTACATCTCTACTTTCAGCCTTTGAGTCACATTTGATCTACAAGGAGTAGTTCTTGAGTAAAGGGGAGGCTTCTTTTCTGTAAACAAGCAATTATACACACTCAGCATGCAGAGTGGTGCTGCACTGTCTGTCAACAGCTACTTAGGGCTGTCACTGAAAGTGGATGTAAGAAGTGTCGGCCATAAAGCGTAAATCTCCGGCAGAGAGAGTGAGGGGGAAAAAGCGGAGTTTAGCATAAGCTGAAATTAAGCTGGCAATATAGGACATCCAAATATCTCTGGCTGTGGCTGCATCATTAGGCAGAAAGAGAGCCAGGAAGGGCTGCAATGCCACTGTCATTAAGAAGCAGCATATCAACCATTTTCTGTCATCCATATGCTGACATCTGTGCTTATGATGGACAGTAATGGGACGTGAGAAGGGGGTATGGTATGTGTATATGTCGGTGCACATGTGTCCTTCAACATATATGTCTATTCTCGTATGAATATCTGCCTGATGGTGCAGTATATGCACATTTCTCTGTCAATAAGGGGGAAGAGGTGTGCATGTGTGTCGTCTGTGCTGATGCTACTCACCTCCCTGCTCACAGAGCTGCTGGGCCAGAGCATCCTTAAACAGGATCTGTCCTCTATGTGTTGCTGTGGCTCTGGGAGAAAGAAAGACAAAGAGAAAACGATCATTAAGACTAACAGCGCTAAGGAGGACACAATGTAATGGTCTGTCTGATCAATCGGCACAGATGGCATCGTTTTCAACTAAACCAAAATGTGTTAAAGCAATCTCCATAATAAGGGCATTTTTGGATGAGGTGACTTTGATTTAAAAACAACAACAACAAACCAGCTTCTAAAGGCTACATTTGTACATGTAGGATAGGATTATATTTTGATGTGAATGACAGACATTTAAAAAATAGCAACAGTGAGCATTTACCTGGTGAACAAAGTTAGTGGTCTTGTTTATTTGACATTTTGATATCCATGTGTTGACAGGGAGTTTACTCAAAACCAACATATTTTCTTCTCATACAGTATCTATCTGCCATGCGGTTCTCTTGCATGTCAGTGTAAATGTAACTGTATGTTGCGTGCTGAATGTATAGATTTAATATACATTTACTCCCAATGGCTATGAAATGCATAATTCATTGAAACTTGAGAGACCTTTAAATACTGTATATAGAGACTATAACGGCTCGTTGTGCAGTGGCATCTTTTACACAGACGCAAATAGTGTCCGACTGTACTCTATCATCATATCATATGTAGGAAGGGATTCTTGTTTCAAATAGAGTTATATTGGTAAAGATGCACACCAATAAACCTGCGAAACATTCAGACCTGTTAATAATAAAAACAACCAAAATACTAAAACGTATAATCTACAGTAAGGCTGTCAAAATTATCGCGTTAACGGCGGTAATTAATTTTTTTATTAATTTTTTTATTGAATTAATTGCGTTAATATATTTAACGCATTTAACGCATGCGCAGAAAGGCCCGCCCCATACATCCCACCAATGACAGTGCCAGGGTATGGCTGGGG